CTATTAGGTCCTCATTACAATTACAAAAAAAAACCTAGCCAAAAGACATGTATGTGGCAACGTCTGTGTTTATAACAGCACAAGCGGGAGGGAGACCCAAGTGCAGTCGTCGAAAAGAGAATGTGTAAACAAACTGTAGGGTATTTGTGTGATAAGGCCCTATACAACAAGGGCATAGAAGGAACCAAGGCCGTACACAACCACACAAATGTGCACTCAGGAAAAGAAGCCAGACACGGACATGCAAACCTTGCATTGTTCCACATACAGACCAGCAAAGCTCGTCTGTGGTGGAAGTCAGGATGGCGGTGGCTATGAGAGGCACAGAGGGCTTCTGGGAGCCTGACACATCCCAGTTTTTGCTATGAGACTCATGGTGCTCTCTCTATATTACAAGCCTCCATCAAAAGGTTTAAAAAGTTCATAGAAACAGACAGTGGATTGGTGGTTGCCAGGGGCTGGTGGGAGAGTGAAAGGGGAGTGAGTGCTAATGGATCCTAGGTTTCCTTTTTTATTTTATTTTTTTAAGATTATTTATTTGGCACAGAGAGAGAGCACAAGCGGGGGGAGCAGCAGGCAGAGGGAGAAGCAGACTCCCCACCAAGCAGACGCCCAACCGACCGAAGCACCCAGGCCCCCCCATTTATTTATTTTAGAGAGGATGAGTGAGGGTGGTAGAGGGAGATGGAGAGAGAATCTTAAGTAGATTCCATGCTCAGCACAGAGCCCGACACCATTCTCAATCTCAGGACCATGAGATCACGACCTGAGCTGAAACCAAATCGAACGCTTAACCAGCTGTGCCATCCAGATGCCCCCATTTTGTTTCTTTTTTGTCCTTTTACACATTTACTGAGTGCCTACTATGGGGCAGGCCCTGGGTTAGGCAAAGTAGATGCAGCAGTGAGCACAATTTTGATTCTTTTTTTTTTTTTAAAGATTTTATTTATTTATTTACTTACTTATTTGAGAGAGAGAAAGAGCATGAGAGGGGAGAGGGTCAGAGGGAGAAGCAGGCTCCCCGCTGAGCCGGGAGCCCGATGTGGGGCTCGATCCCAGGACTCCGGGATCATGACCTGAGCCGAAGGCAGTCGCTTAACCAATTGAGCCACCCAGGTGCCCAAACAATTTTTGATTCTCCCTACTTGAAATGTGAAGGAAGAGAAGGAACCAGCCAGAAAGAGGTGGGGAAGAACATTCTGGGTAGAAAGAACAGCAGCTGCAAAGGCATTGAGGTAGGAACAACAAACAGGTCGGCTTGTGTGGCTGGAGCCAAGTGGTGAGGTCAGAGATCAGAAGGGACAGATCAGGGTTCTCATCAAAATCTGATTTTTAGGGGCACCTGGGTGGCTCAGTCATTGGGCATCTGCCTTCGGCTCGGGTCATGATCCCAGGGTCCTGGGATTGAGCCCCGCATTGGGCTCCCTGCTCAGTGGGAAGCCTGCTTCTCCCTCTTCCACTCCCCCTGCTTGTGTTCCCTCTCTCGCTGTCTCTCACTCTCTGTCAAATAAATAATAAATAAAATCTTTAAAAAAAAATCTGATTTTTATGTGTGTGTTAAAATACACAAAACATAATCCATTTTGACTACAATTGGCCCTTGAACAACATGAGATTTAACTGTGGTCTACTTACATGTGAATTTTTTTTTTTTTATAAATATAGTGTAGTACTGTAACTATTTTTTTCTTCCTTGTGATGTAAAAAAAATATTTATTGATTAGAGAGCTTGCAAGAGAGAGTCCGAACGGGGGCAAGGGGCGGAGGGAGTGGGAGAAGCAGACTCCCTGCTGAGCAGGGAGGCCGACAACCAACACAGGGATCATGACCTGACCACAGGCAGACACTTGACCCACTCAGCCACCCAGGCGCCCCTAGAGATTTTATTTTTAAGTAATCTCTATACCCCACTTGGGGCTCCAACTCACAACCATGAGATCAAGAGTAGCATGCTCTACCAACTGAGCCAGACAGGTGCCCCAAGGGTCAACTGTATTTTAAAATATACATGAGGCTCCTGGGTGGCTCAGTTGGTTGAGTATCTGACTCTTGATTTTGGCTTGGGTCATGGTCTCAGGGTTGTGAGATCAAGCCCCGAGTCAGGCTCCGTGTTGAGTGTGAAGCCTGCTTAGGAGTCTCTCTTCTTTTCCCTCTGCCCCTCCCCGCTTGCACTCTCTCTAAAAACAATAACAACAACAACAAATATACAATTCAGTGGCATTAAGTACATTCCTGATGTTGTACAACTATCACAACTGCCCAGTTCCCACACGGAATCTGTGATGATGGAGAAAGGGATTGAAGTGAAGCAGCCACGAGACCTCCACAGGAAGTGGCTTTGGCGGTGACACCTGAAGTTTCCAGGGAGAGCCAGGTGCAGGTGTAGAGTTTGGGAGAAAAGAGAGAGGGCTGCCTGCAGGTGGGTGCTCAAAAGAAGCAGTGGGTAGGCCATGGCTGGCCTGGGTGCAGTCTGAGTGACTCTTACACCTTGTTTTATCCCTTGAGTTCTGTCTGCAAGGTCATAATATAGACAGTTTCCAGTGGTCCAGGACTGGGAAGGGTGGCATGCTGAAAGGGTGAGCAAGGAGCACAGAGGATGAGGGTAGAAGGTGCCACTGACTACTTGGTCTCGCCTACTGAGGGTGCAGAGCCAAGATGTACCCATGTCCTGCCATACACATCTGGACTTCTGACCAAGATTTCTGCCTTGGTCTTGCCCACCTGGATGCCTACTCTCTCTCCACCTGTCCTGGGGTGGCCCCTGGTGCTTCTCTTAGTCTGCTTGAGGCTGGTTCCCAGTTGATTTCCTCCCTGCAGTGTTGTCCTGGCACTTCCGGAAGACTTGGTGCGGACATTTGGTGAATGGATCTGAGAGTGGCCTGGTACCTGGTAAGTAAGATGGTAGAGGGAATCTTCAAGGCCTACTGCTGGCACCTGGTTACACCCTGACTGTGTGGCTGCCATGTACTGGGACGGAAAGTACTGGGCCCACGAGAAAGGAGGTACTGTTTACAGAGACAAGCTTGAGGCGCTGAAACCACAGGGTCAGTTGCTGGAGCCTACTGAAGGGCCCATAACCAGGGGCAATCTGGAGGACCCATCCCAACCTAGCTGTTGAGCAACCTCTGGGCTCCCTCCAGCTTTCTCTGACACCCCTCACTTCACTGCTCTCTCAGTGCCTGGTCAGGCCCTCTGCAGTTGTTTACCCCGACCCACAGGCGCTTGGAGGTAGTCCCCCAGGAGAGTACACTCCTCCAGTCTTTACCATCACCTTATTTTGACCCTAGTGTCTGCCCCAGAGGTTTGGGTGGGTATGGGTAGTTCCTTTGCCCCCTTTCCTTCCCACTTACCAGAGAAAGGCTAAGCAAGGGTCTGAGGCCAGAGCCTCGGGGGAGCAGCACGAGGGGGCGGGCCACTCAATGGTGGGGCGTGGCCCCGCGGACCCGGTGGGTGGGTTGGGCGGGGAGAGGCCCGCAACGACTCCGCTAAGGGGCGGGGCGGGCCCGCGGATTTGGGGGCTGCGGCGGGGCTGGAACAAAGGCAGGCGCGGAGACAAAGCCCCACGGGCCCCCAGCCCCGTTCGGGAACAAAGGCCACACCCCGCCCAGTGGGGCCAGACGCGCCTCCACCGCCCCCACGCGTGGGCGCACGGCTCAGCCCACAGGTTTTAGGTTTGGATCCAGAGACGCGGAGTAGGGTCTTGGGGCCGGACTCGCCAGCCGGCATGCTCTGAGCATCCTCTCAAAAGCTGACCCCCACCCCCCACTGTCCCCTTTAGCCTTGGCCTGAACTGGAGAGCTCAGCACCAACGAGCCCTGCCAAAGGGGCCGAGGCCCACCCCAAGGACCGGCTCCGAGGCACGCTTCCCTCGGGCTTTCTTCGTGCCGAGCGTCCTCGGACACGATCCCCTCCCAGACTCGGCTCCCACCACAAACAGGATCCAACAGGAGCTGTCCGCCTCCGCCGTAGGCCCTGCTTCCCAGCCCAGACCGGCCTTCTCTCCCCCCGCCCCCGCCTAGCCCCCAGGATTCTCGCCAGACTCCGCTTCCCTCTCAGGAGTCCCACAGAAAGGCCCTGTTTCTCCCAGACAGGATGCCCCCACCGCTCACAGGCCTCGTTCTCCCCGTCTGACAGAGTTCTCCCCAGACATTCTGCTTCCTCCCTCAGACAGGACTCCCCCGCCCCCCGCCCAGATCCCGCCTCCGAGCGAGGCCGGATTCCGCTCTTCACGGATCTTGCCTCCTCCCTCAGATAGGATTCTCCCTACAGAGTCGGCTTTCTTCTCCGACGGGGTTCACGTCCCCCTCCCCGCGCCGCGCCCCGACCCGGCCTCCTTCCCTGGAATTGCCCCACTGTTGAGGTACATTCAGTTCGCCCACCCGGAAAAGCATCCAAGTCAGCGCCGCGGCTGCCTGAAAGATGGGAAGGGGTCGTGTGTGGGGCAGCAGGACTCGCTGCTCGGGAGCCCCTTGGAATTTGTTTGCTTTAGGCAGGTTTCAGTGTCTGTCTTGTTAAACAATAAAACGGTTAAAACCCCACAGTCAGCCAGTCGGCTCAGAAGGGGACGTCCTCCTGGGATGGGGACCCTGCGCCTCTCTCTCTCGACCCAGCATCTCTCCCCGGCGCTGGCACACGCCGCGCCCCGTGGCGTCTCCGGCCTTGGCCTAAGGGGCGGGGATTGAGGTGGTGGCCCGGCCTGCCAAACCGCCTGCGCAGTACGGCGGCCAGGGGCTGGGGCCGGAGGGGGAGCGCGAGCCTGGAAAGGTGCGCGCGCCCCGCCCGCGTACAATGTTGCGGCGGTGATGTCAACAGCCCCGCCCCTGCCGCACAGGCGGCGCCGAGGCGGTGTCGGCGGAGGTAGGAGGACCCGGTTCAGGCGCGTGCGTACTCGCGGCCTCGCCCGGGGCGCTCGGCCCGGGCCCCGCCCCCGGGCGCAAGACGCCCAGCGCGCTTGCGCGGCGGCGTCGGCGCCAGTTATTTCTGTCCCGCCCCCCGGCCGCGGCTCTTTCTGCGAGCGGGCGCGCGGGCGAGCGGTTGTTCGCGTGGCGCGTGGCGCGGTGTCTGGGCGGCCTTTGAAGAGGAAGCGCGGTCGTCGTCGGCGGGAGGCTAGCAGGCGGCGGCCGGCCGGGCTTCGACAGCGCCCCGCGCGCAGCGGGCGGTAGCCCAGGCGGCGCGTGGCGGCGCTCGGCCTCGCGGCGGCGGCGGCCCAGCCGTTGGCGGCGAGCGCGTCTGCGCCTGCGCGGCGGGCCCCGCGCCCCTCCTCCCCCCTGGGCGCCCCCGGCGGCGTGTGAATGGCGGCCTCGGCGGCGGCGGCTTCCGCGGCGGCGGCGGCGGCGGCCGCCTCGGGCAGCCCGGGCCCAGGCGAGGGCTCGGCGGGCGGCGAAAAGCGCGCCGCCGCCTCGTCGGCCGCGGCCGCGGCCTCGGCCTCGGCCTCGTCGCCCGCGGGGGGCGGCGGCGAGGCGCTGGAGCTGCTGGAGCACTGCGGTGTGTGCCGGGAGCGCCTGCGCCCCGAGAGGGAGCCTCGCTTGTTGCCCTGCCTGCACTCGGCTTGCAGTGCCTGCCTCGGGCCCCCGGCGCCCGCCGCCGCCAACAGCTCGGGGGATGGCGGCGCGGCGGGCGACGGCGCCGGTGAGTACGGTCGGGCCGGGGCGGCCCATCCCCCCACCCTGCAGGCTTTGATCCCGACTCGGCGTGGGTATCGGGGGCCCGTTCCCAGCATGGCGATGGTGGGGGGTCGCCTGAGCGAGAGGGATAGGCACCCGGATAGTGCGTGGCCGGATCGGGTATGGGCAGTGGGTTCTGGGCTGGGCGCTGAGATGGGGTGTCCGCTTCAAGCGCGATCAAAGAAGGGTTTGGGTTCCTGCTTCCTAAGGAGAGGGTCTGGCCCTCTTTGGCATGGAGGTTGGGCTCAGTCGGGGGATGGCTTATAGCTTGGAGGTGAACTTGCAACAGTCTTACTTTTTTTTTTTTTTTTTTTGGCAGTGGTGGACTGTCCTGTGTGCAAGCAGCAATGCTTCTCCAAAGACATTGTGGAGAATTACTTTATGCGTGACAGCGGCAGCAAGGCTGCCACAGACTCGCAGGATGCAAATCAGGTACGTCCTGCCCCAGCAACCCCTAAGAGGCCTCGGGACACGGTACTAGTTCCAGACTTTATTCTTTTCACACCACAAGGCTCTGGGCAGATTGTAGTCACTAGGTAAAGGCTACACTTTGCGTTAGGTTGTGTTATTTGGGGTGCAGATGTGGACCTGTTTGGCGGTTTTGTCTCTTCTTACTCTGCCTTTGCCCATCAGTGCTGCACTAGCTGTGAGGATAATGCCCCTGCCACCAGCTACTGTGTGGAGTGCTCTGAGCCGTTGTGTGAGACGTGTGTGGAGGCACACCAGCGGGTGAAGTACACCAAGGACCACACCGTGCGCTCCACTGGTATGCAAGGCAGAGGGGAGAGCCTTGGCTGTTTTACGTTTGTCCTCAGTTGTTCATGGTGCTAGTTAACAAATGATGGCTGGGTCCAGGGAAGCTTTTTTGGAGGGTACCACCTGAAGGGTCTGAGGGCAGAACTTAGAAATGGGGAGTCTGGGGCTCAGCTGTGTAGTCTCTGTGGGTCCGAGTGGGAGGGAAAAGGCCATAGGGTGGGGGTGCACTGAGGGTTCAAGCAAGACACCCCCTCCCCCCCACAAAGACATACACACAGGTGCTAAGCCCCAGTAGTGGAGGGGTGGGCCTGGGTTCCCTGGCAACTTGGTTAAGGCTCTGTAGGAGAAAATGGGGCCTCTGGACCACTGTGTTGATAACTTGCAAGGGCCCTCAAGGCCATCCTGGAGAGTGAGTCTTAGAAGTGTTTTAATTTTGGGTCGTACATGTTTTAAAGTTCAGCTCAGGTAGGTATTTGTAGACTTTTTTTCTGTAAGTGCTGGTGGTGGCACAGGAAAGGGTTTGGGAGTCTTCTGAGTTTATTCTGGTTTTAGTTCCAGAACAGTCTATGAGTGGTCTTTTAGTAGTTACACTGTCGCTTCTCAGTCCTAGAGGTTAGCATTGTCAGGAAGATAAGGATGGAGGTGCTAGCTGTGGGGGCATGAGGAATCAGGAACAAAGGGCAGGGATTTGTAGGAGGCCCTGGGTTCAGGCACAGGGCAGAGTGCAGGAGTGGGGCAACATTGGAGGACCCACGGTCTGGCTGATTGGTGTCTCAGTCATAGGTCTTGGGCTGGGGTGGTGTAGCCAGGATGTAATTGGGATTGGGTAGGAAAGAGGGATAGATGGTCTCAAGCAGCTTTGTAACGGTGACAGATTGGGGGCGGGGTGGTCTATTGGTCTTTGGGCGGTATTACTCTTTAAGTACCAGAAATCTCCCTTCGGAGAGAGGGGACCTGACACCTTTATGAGGATTTTGGTCTGACATTTCACGTCTCCTATCCTGAGAAGGCTTTGCAAAGCTTGGATCCCTTGTAGGCTTTTGGGTGGTAAGAATTCTGTGGACTTCTCTTACTCAAGAGAGGGGAGGTCACCAAGGCGTGGCTTCTGAGGAAGCTGCGCTTGAACAGTATCTCTAGCCCCTGATTTGCTTTCTCTCCGTGCCAGCGAGCAAACGTTCTTTGTGCTTGGATGCCACAATAGCCAGAGTTCCCTTCTCTGCTGTACAGAATCTGCTGCGAGTGGAGGAGGAATCGAGCCCAGTGGGGGTTTAAGGTGGAGGAGCTCTCCTGAGTGTCCACCTGGGGAAGGTTCTGTTAAACAGAACAGCAAGTGGGAGGTCTCTGCCAAAGTCTTCAGACTTTGTTATCCAGGTCACAAGCTGATAGGAGGGGGTGGTTGTCTGGTCAGGCTTGGGGCAGAGTATTTTGAAAGGAAAGATTTGGTCTTTTTCTTTTTTAAGATTTTATTTATTTGACAGAGAGATAGAGCAGGAACACAAGCAGGGGGAGTGGGAGAGGGAGAGCAGGCTTCCCGCTGAGCAGGGAGCCCGATGCGGGGCTCGATCCCAGGACCCTGGGATCATGACCTGAGCCGAAGGCAGACGCTTAACGACTGAGCCACCCAGGCGCCCCGAAGGATTTGGTCTTAAAGGCCTGTGCTTTTTCTTGCTCACTGCTGCAGGGCCCTTGAGTTTTCTTAGCAGACAGCCCAGGCTTGCAGGACAGGCGGGAAATGAGGCGTCAAGTTCTGTTTACTACTTGAGATGGAGATAGCTGAGGATGAGCTTCAGACTCACGGTTTCTATTCCCCAGGGCCAGCCAAGTCAAGGGATGGTGAGCGTACGGTGTACTGCAACGTGCACAAGCACGAGCCCCTCGTGCTGTTCTGCGAGAGCTGTGACACCCTCACCTGCCGGGACTGCCAGCTCAACGCCCATAAGGACCACCAGTGAGTACTGAGGATGCTGGTGGGTGCTGCCTGTTCGTTCCCATGTTCAGCACCCAAGGCCCACTTTTGTCTGCTCTCAGATACCAGTTCCTGGAAGATGCAGTGAGGAACCAGCGCAAGCTCCTGGCCTCGCTGGTGAAGCGCCTCGGGGACAAGCATGCAACGCTGCAGAAGAACACCAAGGAGGTTCGCAGCTCGTAAGTGTGGAAGCCAGGGCCGTAGTTGGGGGCAGTCCTGGGGGAGCATGTTCCTGACCTGATTCACCCTGCCCCCCCCCCCCCAGGATCCGCCAGGTGTCTGATGTACAGAAGCGTGTGCAGGTGGATGTTAAGATGGCCATCTTGCAGATCATGAAGGAACTGAACAAGCGGGGCCGTGTGCTGGTCAACGATGCCCAGGTACACCCTGTTTGGGTGGGGAAGGGATTCTGGGTCCCATCTGCTGGCTGTTGATGCCATCCTTGGTGTCTGCTTTCCTTCATTGGTTTCTCTGCTCTACCTGCAGAAGGTGACTGAAGGGCAGCAGGAGCGCCTGGAGCGGCAACACTGGACCATGACCAAGATCCAGAAGCACCAGGAACATATCCTGCGCTTTGCCTCATGGGCTCTGGAGAGTGACAACAACACGGCCCTGCTGCTCTCCAAGAAGCTGGTGTGTGCTGGTGGGCACCCAGGTGGTGGGTTCCAGGCAGGTGCTGCTCAGCACCCTGCAGCCTTGTTTGCTTTTTGTGTATTCATGTACTGCTCCATCTCCAGATCTACTTCCAGCTGCATCGGGCCCTCAAGATGATTGTGGACCCTGTGGAGCCACATGGCGAGATGAAGTTCCAGTGGGACCTCAATGCCTGGACCAAGAGTGCAGAGGCTTTTGGTGTGTCCTTTTTTTATCCTGCTGCATAGTGCTACTGTTCCAGACACTGGGTCGTCTCATGCCGTTTCTACTTCATTTTTGCAGGCAAGATCGTGGCAGAGCGTCCTGGCACCAACTCAACAGGCCCTACGTCCATGGCCCCTCCTCGGGCTCCAGGGCCCTTGAGCAAGCAGGGCTCTGGCAGCAGCCAGGTGAGCGGGGGGCGGGGGAACACTGGTAGGGAGCCGGGGGGCACGGGGTCCTATGGGACACCTGCCCACTGAGGACCACCTACTTTGCCCACAGCCCATGGAGGTGCAGGAAGGCTATGGCTTTGGCTCAGGTGAGTGCCTTGTAGGTGGGAGAGCTTCAGTGCTTTAGGCTTATCCCTAACCTGCTGTCTCTTCTTATATTTTCCGAGCAGACGATCCTTACTCGAGTGCAGAGCCCCATGTGTCAGGTGTGAAGCGGTGAGTTTGGCTAACCTTTGGTGGAGCCAGGTGGGATTAGGGATGGGTGTGCTGACACCGTGCTGCACCTGCACCCACAGGTCCCGCTCAGGTGAGGGCGAGGTGAGTGGCCTCATGCGCAAGGTGCCCCGGGTGAGCCTCGAGCGCTTGGACCTGGATCTCACAGCTGATAGTCAGCCACCAGTTTTCAAGGTCTTCCCAGGCAGCACTACTGAGGATTACAATCTCATCGTTATTGAGCGTGGTGCTGCAGCTGCTGCAGCTGGACAGCCTGGGACTGCTCCACCCGGGGCCCCTGGGGCCCCGCCTCTGCCTGGTATGGCCATAGTCAAGGTGAGCCTGCCTCAAGTGATTGTGAGTGGGAGACGAACACCCAGGTCTGCACCCTGCTGAACACCTTATTACCTTGTTACCTCCTTGCAGGAAGAAGAGACAGAGGCTGCCATTGGAGCCCCGCCTGCTGCCACTGAGGGCCCTGAGACCAAGCCTGTGCTGATGGCCCTGGCGGAGGGCCCTGGTGCTGAGGGCCCGCGCCTGGCCTCACCCAGTGGCAGCACCAGTTCAGGTCTGGAGGTGGTGGCTCCAGAGGGCAGTTCAGCCCCAGCAGGTGGCCCGGGTGCCCTGGATGACAGTGCCACCATCTGCCGTGTCTGCCAGAAGCCAGGCGATCTGGTCATGTGCAACCAGTGCGAGTTCTGCTTCCACCTGGACTGCCACCTGCCTGCCCTGCAGGATGTGCCAGGGTGCGAGGCTTGTGTGGGGTCTGTGCAGGGTGGAGGGCTGGGCCAGGTTCTTTGCAGCTCCTCATTCTCCTTCCATCCAGGGAGGAGTGGAGTTGCTCTCTCTGCCATGTGCTACCCGATCTGAAAGAGGAAGATGGCAGCCTGAGCCTGGATGGTGGTGATAGCACCGGTGTGGTGGCCAAGCTCTCGCCAGCCAACCAGCAGGTGAGGGTGGGGGTCGACTTCCTTAGGAGTTTGTTTGCTCAGCAGCCCTACCCCTCCCTCTGTGGCTCTGATGTCTCCTGTTCTGTTCATAGAAGTGTGAGCGTGTTTTGCTGGCCCTGTTCTGTCATGAGCCCTGCCGGCCCCTGCACCAGCTGGCTACTGACTCCACTTTCTCCCTGGTGAGTCTTGGGACTTAAAAGGGAGGGTACGGGGAGAGAGTGCCTGGCCTCATCTTTAGCTTGTGGCTTTTGTCTACAGGATCAGCCTGGCGGCACCCTGGACCTAACCTTGATCCGTGCCCGTCTCCAGGAGAAGTTGTCACCCCCTTATAGTTCCCCCCAGGAGTTTGCCCAGGATGTGGGCCGCATGTTTAAGCAGTTCAACAAGCTGACAGAGGTGAGCTTGGGAAGAATGGGGTTGGGGGCAGGGCAAGGGGAGGTGGGAGGAGGGAGAGCTAGGACCCATGCACTGCCATCTGCCCGGCTTAGGACAAGGCAGACGTGCAGTCCATCATCGGCCTGCAGCGCTTCTTTGAGACTCGCATGAACGAGGCCTTTGGTGACACCAAGTTCTCAGCTGTGCTGGTGGAGCCCCCGCCGCTGAGCCTGCCTGGTGCTGGCCTGAGTGCCCAGGAGCTATCCAGTGGTCCTGGTGATGGCCCTTGAGTCTGTGGCCTCTCAGGCCAACCCGGCCTGACTCTGTTCTCTGTCCTGTCAAATCCCCCCCACTTCCCCCCAACCTCCCCCTCTGGTGGCCTGGCTCCTACTTCTTGGTGGCCCCATCCCCCAGTCCCTCACGATATGGTTTTTACTTATGTGGATTTAATAAAAACTTCACCAGTTCCTCAGGCCTTTGTTGGGGGGGCGGGGGCAGTGGTCTTGGGGCCTGGTCTCTGCAATTCCCTCACCATGTCCTGGTGGATGGCGTAGGTGTGGGGCACTCATTTTCAGCCATTTTCATGTCCAGGGAGTAGGGAAGAGCATCTCTCCTGGCCCTACCAATGTAGAGAGTGCCTCAGGTGGATGGGAGGGTCACAGGGTGCACATGCTGGCTGGAGGGTTTTGGGTGCCTCTGTAGGTGGTAATGCCCAGGCTGCTCTGGGCAGGCAGTGTATAGCCCCAGATACATGCTGCATGGTGGCTATTCTTCCTGAGTACTTCCTGGACTTGGGTGTAACCATTTCTCATAATCAGATGGCACCACAGTGAGCTGGGTGGGCTGAGGATCCCTGGCAGATGAGCCCAGACTTCCAGGGTATCCGGGAATCCCATGGTCTTGGAGGTGATAGGCACTAGAGGCCAAGGCACTGAGCCAAGGCACTGGAGGCTCTGGGAAGGGTGCTGAAGCAGAGCACACAGATGATCTTAAGCTCCCAAACCCTGAACGTTCTGTAGAGACAACCTGTCAACTCCTGCCACAAACTGGGAAGCAATCCAGCCTTCCTTATTCTACACTTCAATGAATCTGGCACTCGGTCTTCTGCCATGCCTGTCAGTTGCCCTTTTATCAAGCCCTGTATGTGACCTGTGCCAAGGGACCCCAGCCTGGCCCACATCAGGCCAGTCAACACAGGCCTAGGAACCAGTGTCCAATCTTTTATTACAGAAGAAGTACAGTGAAACTGCTGGGCATCCACTGCCCACCTCCCACCCAGGGTGGTATAGGGCAATCAGTCCCTCCGCAGATTCTTGAGCCGCTCCTCCAGGTCTGCGTCGGCATCTACTAGGGCTGAAGCTGCTGCCTCTGCTTTCTTCCCACTGGCAGCCACACTGAGTGAGCCTCCGGTGGAGGGGAGGTCTACAGAGGGGGGGGGGGGGTTAGGAGAGCTCCTGTAGAAAGGAATAATGCTGGGAGCAGGGGGGTAAGGTTGTGTCTGGACTGTTGGGTGGGACAGGGCCCAAAGTTTGGTGCACTCACTTGACAGCTCGTCTGTCAGGCTCAATCCCAGCTCATCCAGGACCTGGGACACAACAGCGTCACTTGGGAAGAGAGAAGACCTTTGTGAGGGCCAGGCATGTGCGAGGACCAGGCATCCATCCCCATCCTCCCCACACCTGGTGTCCCCTAACCTTTCTTCTTCATCTTCCTCATCACCCATGGCATCATCAATGGCATCGTTCATCATCTCCTCCTTCATGTCCATGATCTCGGCCTGCCGCTCAAATTCCATCATGATCTTCTGGATCTGAGGCAACTTCAGCTGGAAGTGGGGTGTGGGGAGGGTTAGTTGGGGGTTAGTTGTGGGGGAGGGTGGGGGAACAGGAGAGGCGCACCTGTCTGTTCATGGTGCCCATGGCTTTGGTGACCCCTTTCATAGCTTGCGCCATTGAGTTGTTAGACTTCAGTGTCTGGATCTTCAGGGACACAGCCTGGATGTTGGCCCGCATCAACACAAACTTGCGCACGTAACGCCGAGTGCGCACCAGGTCTTTTGCCATGATACGCACAGCATCCTGAGGAGTGGACAAACGTGATGGGGAGTGGGCCAAGGGAAGATGCTCCCGCTGCACCATTCTAGCTGATGCTTTCAGAGATTGACATGTCACTGCCCCCTCCCTCCTCCCAACCTCATCCTCGTGCGTCTTGGGTCACCACTCCACCGGTTCCTTTGTACGCTTAACCTCTCTCACCCGTGGACTCTGGAAGGAAGGGTGGGCTCACTCTATCTAGGGACCCTTTTCCCTCCGTATCTAAAGTCACACTCCCTTGACTTACAGTACCTATTCCTGAATTTCTATCCTGGCTGAAGAGTTTCTTTCCCTCCACCTCACAAAGGCTCACCCCTCAAGCACTTTATCCCAAATATAAGTCTATCCATAGCTCAGCTTTCGACTTCCCCAAACGTCTTCCTTGCCTTGCCTGTCCTGGGGAACGGAACCTCTTCAACTCAGCTGCTCAGGTTGCTCAGGTTCAAACTTGTCACCTGTCACAGGCTCTGCTCCCTACTGGTTCAGGCTGTCTCCATTTCTTTTACTGACCTTCTTGCATTAAACCCTTTGACTCAGCTCCCACTGTAGCCCATGATTTCAACTGGTCTGGGCTACTGTCTACTCTGAGCTCACCTATCACTCCCTCATGGAACATTTGCTGCCTCATCTGTTTGACATGTTGGTTGCGTGGATCTTCACAGGCTCTTCCTCTTCATTACTCAAGGTCTGTGGCTCTGATATCACCTGGGAGGCAGCCTTTCTGGATACCCAAAATAGGGAAGCCCCGCTCACCCTTAATTTCTCTCAGAGCACCTGTTGGTGTCCTGTCACGCTCCACCGTTCTAGCAGTGCCTGACCAAACCACAGCACCTAACCCTGTGTCCCAGCCTGTGCCCAACTGAACTCACCATCTGGCCCTGCTTGGCCATCTTCTTGATGTCTGCGATGATTTTCTTCTCCTGAGTCTCTAGCTTCTGTCGCTCACGGTCCAACTCTCGCATGGCACGGTTCAGGGCTCTCTGGTTCTGCCTCAGCAACTCCTCTGGTGTCTTCCGGCGCCCAAACAACAAATCCATGGTAGCAGGAGCCCACCAGTGGACCTGTGACAAGTGTGAAGCCTAGGTGCAAAGTGGTGTGGGCCCCAGACAAAGGGCAAGAAGCAGAGGCAGGGTCACAATGTGTATGGGGGGGTAGTTGGGGGGGCTTGCAAAATGCAGAGGGGTAAGCAGGGAGAGGAAGCATTAATGGAAGGGCAAAACCTAGCCTGGAACACTGAAGGAGCCCCATGGGTACAAGTGGGGTCAGCAAGATCTGAAAGTCATCCACAACATACCCACCCCAGCCCTTCATCATAGTGCCCCAAAGGAGGTTCAAGGCTTCAGCCTCTCTCCAGACCATAGTGAGGCCCTGGACTCTGATGCACTGAGAAGGAAAATGGTTCTGTGAGGGTGCACTGGGGCATGTGGACCCTGAGCGCCAAGGACGGCAACTGTGGGAGCCTGAATGCCAAGAACAAAGTGAGTATAGGAGTTCTGAAGCTGACAACCTACGAATTAGCATTCGGATTGGCGGGGGGCTGAACGGGGAGGGAACCTGGGTGCGAATAATATGGTTGTGGGGAGTTGGGGCACCCGGCACACTAAGGAAATGATGGATGCTGGGGAGCTCTGAGCATCTGGAAGAAACGGGTCCTTGGGGGCCCCTGTACACCCGGAACGTGATGATGGGCGATGGGGCGCCTTGTTCATCCAGGACAACCTGGGGGGCGTTGGGCGGCCCGCACACCGAGAGCAAGGTGGCTCGATGATGGGGCTAGGGTCCCGTGGACGGGCGAGGCAGCCGACACCCCGACGAAGAGACCCTCGTACGCCGTCGCCCACGCACCCACCCGGGACCCGCGGCCCAGCAGGGGCCACTCACCGGAGCTGGGACGGGAATCGGCTTCCGCTTCCGGGTTACGCTCTTCTCGGCTCTCAGGCGCACCCACCAACGATAGCCCCTCGGTTCTTTCTGCCGTCGCCGCCGTTTCCGGAAGAAATGATCTGACGTCACACGCCCCACCGGCACCCGGAACGATGGGCGGGGACAAGAGCGCGCGTGCGCAAGCAGGCCGGCATCCAGGCGCATGCGCACAAGCTTCCGTCTCTCTCCGGCCTGCCTGTGGGTGTTCCATAGGTTCCAGCCGAGCCAGGCCTGGAATCCCAGTCCCCCGTTCGGTTGGTGCATCTTCGGGCGCCTTGGGCCCGGCCACCCCAGAGGTCCCGGATCCCACCACCGCACCCACTAGAGGGCCCAGCTCATCCGACGGACCCCGACGTTTCCCTAACGTTTCTGGATCTCAGGCACCTGGTAGCACCAGGGAGGGTTCTTGGTAGGTCCAGTCATGGCAGGAGGGGGCACAGCTGGAGATGGCACAGACTTTCCTCTATACTGGCTTACCAAGCAGGAAGCGAGTGGTTACTGGTCCTGCCCCTTGATGCTCGCCTATTGGGATTCATCCCACCCAGCCTGAGGCTTGGGGTGTTGTCCCCCTATTACCCCCCAGGGCTGTTTCAGGCACTGGGTAGCCTCCTGAGGGGTGCCCCAGTGCCACCTGTAACCGGTTACACATCTCCCGCCACTCCTGCTGCAAGAGCTCTGGTGGACATCACCTGCCCCTCCCACCCCCACAGAAGGAAGAGGCGGAGGCCATGCAGTAACATTCCCCTTTAATAGCCTGGTGGGACCTCCAGTGGTGGAGGGGTGGGGTGCCCGAGCCCCAGCCACCCAGTCCCCTTGGCCACCCACCCCAGAACCCAGAGTGGGGGGCTGGACAGCACCCAGCTGGGGGCTAGACAAGCCAATTCATTTCCCATTGCTGAGCGGGTCGGGTGAGGCAGCGCCGACCTTAATCACATGGTGGTTAAAAAAAAAAATAATAACTAGGAGCGAGTGGCAGGGAGGGGAGGCAAGGCCAGGGCATGGGATTCCCCCACCCGCCACCCCATGCCCCCCACCTGTGGCCCCCAATAAATATTTGCAGGGGACGCCGGGGCTGGTGGCCCTGGCAGGGGTGGGTGTGCGCCAACCCTATTTCAGGCAGCGCTCGAAGTAGGTGGAGCCGATATAGCCACCCCGCATGGAGCGCTGCACATTCTGCTCAAACAGCCGCCGGTTGTTCTGCAGGACCTCGGCGGCCTCCTTGTTCAGTGGGTCTTCGGGGTTGGGCTCCTGTGGCCAGTATGGGTAGGGGTCAACAGGCCCTAAGAGCAGAGAGGGCCAACCTTCCCCAGCCTCACCCACCCACCCCTACTCACCAAGAAGAGATACTGCAGGCCATAAATTATGGAGTTTATCGTAAGGACTGGCTTCCAGTCCTCTCTGTGGACAGAGAATCGGGGTCAGGGGCTGGTGGGTGGATGGCCAACAAAGAGCCTGCTGGGACTGAACAGATCAGGCCCAGGGCACAGGACAGTGCAGACGTCAGAGGCTAGGGGGAGGGCACACAGCGGGACAGGCCAAGGAGAAAGCTAAGGTCAAGGCTTGAGGAAGAAAATGTGGAGATGAAGAGATAGAAAACCGCAGACCACAAGAGGGAGGGAAGGGACAGAGGCCTGTGCGGTCTAAAGTCAGGGCCCTCACCTGAGGATGTTGAGGCAGACGTTGCCCTCGAGGTCAATGTTGGGGTGATAGACCATCGTCTCACACTTCACCTTGGGGGGGTCATGTGGGTAACCCTGGCCCACCTGGCTCCAAGAAGAGAGAGTAGATAGACAGGTGCCTTAGCAGTGCCTGGCTGGGGCGGGCCTCAGCTGTTGCCTCTATCCCTCTATCCCGGGACTCACCTTAAAACTGAACACAAACTTCCCACTCTTGTAGAAGCCCTGCGAGGGGAAAGAGAAAAAGTCTTAGGACACCATCCTGCAGGGCCTGGCAGGTAAACCAGGTCTCCCAACTCAAGGTATTTCCCCCCCAGCCCCATACCTGGGAGTCCAACCGAGTGAGCCCTTACCTCATCAGGACAGATAACCAGCTTGAAGTTGAGGAGATCGTCTGGATCTGAGAAGCTGATGTCACACGTCTTGGGCAGGTTCAGCTCGTTTATGTCTGGGTTTGCAAAGCAGAGAAGGGGAACAAAGAGTGGGCGAGGGAGAGAGGAGGGCACTCAAGAGTAGGTGCAAGTGCCAGCAGAGCACCCATGGCCTCCACCTGGACCCTCAGGGCTCTGTCCTGGCTGTGCCCCACAGCCCTAACCCTCTCCCTGCTCCTTCTGCTTCCCAGTGTCCAGGCACGCTCTGCTAGATCCACAGCACGCCTCAAACACGCATCTTCAGCTCTGGCTACGCTCCATCTCCTGGCCCAGGTAAGTTCCAACTCTTGTGAATCCACAGCCTCAAGTCTCAGCACCCAACAGCTGGGTGCCCCCAACCCAGCTCCCAAATTCCCCCACCCCTGTGTGGCCCCCAAGAGCCTCCAACTACCCCAAACACCAGGATCTCCAGCCAAGAACTCCATTTTCTAGTGGACACTGCTGCTACCCGCCCCCCCCCCCCCCCCACCCAAACTCAAGGACCCCGCCCCCATCATCCCCTCACCAAACCCGTCCCCACTGTCCCTCCTCTTCTCTGCTTGTCATCCTAAATTCAGGGACCCACCCGACCCTCAGACCTGTGAGTTCCCATTCCTGTACCCCTCTAAGCAGCCTCTGAGATTCCCAGCACCTCCAGCATGATAGTCTAAATTCAACCCTACTGCCATCTCCAATCCCTGGCACACACTGTTCTTCCTTCCTCCACGTGTCACCCCAAACCCCAAACTGCCATGTGACCCCCGACCCACAAATCGCAGTGCCCCAAACTTACTTCACTCCATCTCACTTTCAGATTCCCAACGACCCCAAGATACTTCACTAAGTCCTCTCCGACTCCTATCCCCAACTCTTGGCCCACCACCTACCCAATCTCCTCTGCCTGTCACTCATGTTCCAGTCTCACCCCCCATGCTCAGTGGAGTCTCCAGCTTCCTACTCGCCCTCCATTGCCTGACTCTCTGATTCTCGGTCCCTAATGCAAGACGCCTGGCTTTCCGGGTATCCTAAGTGCCCCATACTCGGCCTCCCATCTTTGACCCCCCGGTGACCGCATTACTCCTGATCCCCCATCACACCAACACCCAGGCCCTAACCTCCGACCCCACATCTCTGACATCTCTGACCCCGGGTGACTGCATTATCCCACGCCTGACTCTTACATCACCCCACCCCAAGCGCTGACCTCCGACCCCCATCCCCATCCTCCGACCCCCTACCCTTCTGGATCCGCAGCTGCGCAGCCGACGCCTTCTTGCTGCTGCCCTTGGTGCCGCCCGCCGACTCCTCCTCCTTCTTCTGCTGCTTCAGCGAGAACAGCTTGATCATCCTGCCGCCGCCGCCGCTGCCGCCGCTGCGGGGCCCGGGACCCCGGCCACCCGGCCCCCTGCCGCCGCCCGCGCCGCCTCCGCCACTCGAACCCGCCTTCGCGGCCTCCTCCGCTGCTGCTGCCGCCCGCCCGGCCTGCCGTGCCGCTCCGCGCCCACCGCGCGGCCCGCGTCGGCTCCCGTAGTCCGGCTCCGGCCTGGCCCGGCGCCTCGGGCTCGCTCGGCGGCGCTCGGGCCGACTCGGCTCTTCTCGGGTCCGCTCGGCCCCGCCCCCACCCGGCCGCTCCCTCCTCCCCCTCGCCCGCTTAGGTCCCCTCAGGCTCAGCTGCGGCCGCGCCGCCTGTCTGTTCACTCGCTCCCACCGCGAGGGGGTGCGGCTCGAGGGGAAGGAGGAGGCGGCGGCCGCGGTGGTGGCTGCCGTGTACTAGAAGAGGCTCGGCTTCCGCGGCAGCAGCAGCTTCGGCGCGGAGGTCCGCAACGGCCTCGGGCGCCCCACCGCTTCGGATATTTCCGCCGCTTGCCCACTTCGGCTCTTCTCGCCCGGTCTGCGCTGTGCGCTTGCGCAGCCGCCGCCGCTGCTGCCGCCGCCGCTCCGCGTTGCTCAGCGATAGGTCTTGATTATTCGGACTTTTTCGGCTGGGCTCGGGTATTTCCGTTGGTGCAGGCAGTCCCGCGGTCATTTCCGGGGACGCTCATGGGTCCAGGCGTGGGCGGTGCCGCCGCCATCTTTAAGTAGGGCAGGTGCAGCTCACTTCGCTGGCGGTTCACTTGTGCAGACCGCGGCGGGGGTGGGTCTCCCGAGGTCCTCGCCCCTGGAGGTCACAGAGGCGGGGTGACCACGGCGGGCCAGAGCCCGGGCGAGGCCATAGGCTTTGCCCAAAGAGTGCGGGGTCGAGCGCCCTCGGTGCCCCATCGCAAACGCAACCCGCTCGCGGAGATTCAGGCCGAGGTAAACTAGCAAATAAAAGGTGTACTGTGCTAGAGAGTGGTAAGCACTTTGGGAGTTTACATGGGTGGGCCCTGGATGGGACGTGGGGCGGGGGTCCTCCCGGAGCGTCCTGAGTGCCCGCGGAGACGCTCTGCGGCCTCCCGCCGTCTGTGCGGCCAGCCTGCGCTCCAGTCACACACAGCTCAGCGGGCCCCGGAGGGCGGGAGGCAGCGGCGCGGGGCGGTTCGGGGACTTCCGGCGGTCGCCACGGAAACCGTCAGGCGGGTGAGCTGCGCGGCCCGGGGCCGGGTGGGTGGGTGCGGCTGGCGCTCTGCGGCTCGGCCCTTATGCGACCGAGTGCGGCTCCCGCTGCGCGTCCCCTTCCGTGTCTGAGGCGACCGGCCCCATCGCCTGGAGCATTGCGGAAGAAGGAGTTTGGCGGTCCGGTTGGGCAGGGATGCTCGCGGGCTGCCCTCGGCCGTCGACCCCGGCCCAGGCTCGCAGTCCTCGCCTCGGGGCAGTCGCCCTGACGCCCTCCCAGACCCGACCTGGTGTCCATCTCGGTCCCTTCGTCGCCTCCACCTTTTCGGATCTTTTTTTTTTATTTTTAAAGATTTTATTTATTTATTCATGAGAGACAGAGGAGAAGAGAGAGAGAAGCAGAGGGAGAAGCAGGCTCCCAAGGAGCAGGGAGCCCGATGCGGGACTCGATCCCAGGACCCTGGGATCATGACCTGAGCCGAAGGCAGACGCTCAACCATCTGAGCCACCCAGGCGCCCTACCTTTTCGGATCTTGACCCAGCCTCCTTAGAGCCCCTGCGCTGTGGGTTTTCGGGTACCATTGGCGTCCCTGGGCTCCGCGGACTGATCCCAGCTGTGTCGTCCAACTGCGGCCGCTTTGGGCCCTGCCGTTCTCAGTACCACCATCCCAGGACCCCTTTCGTGCCTCTGGTCGTGCCGTTATCCCAGCATCCTTTCTCGGTTCGAGAGCTGAGCGCTGGAGAGGGGCCAGGATGAGGGGGCGGACTCAGGAACCTCAAGCAGCTCAAGTTTGGGGCCGACGCTGCAACCGCCCCCGCGTTCTTAGGCTTCAGACGTGGCTGGTCATGGGGCCCAGATGGCCCCTCCAGATTCAATCTCCTTCTTCCTCTCTCTTTTTCTCAGCCACTCTGCTCTTCCTATCTATTGTACGCCCATTGCCAGGTGAGGGGGGTGACCATTCTGGGTCCAGCCCGAGTCTCAGGGGTGTTGCCTACTGGTCAGCCTGAACCATGTGTCCATCCTCAGGCCGGTTTCTGAGGCTCCTCCGTTGAAGGCCCATCTGAGGATAGGGTGTTGGTTTCCTGGAGAAGTGGTGCTGCGTTAGCCAAAGCTAGATTCTCGTGGTCTTTGATCTCATGGCTTTCCCACAGTCCGCCGGGAAGACTTAACCATGCAACAAAATGCTGGGAAAAGGGGGCCACGGGTACCCTTTGGGCCTGCATCCTCTTGGCAGGCAGCATAGGGCTCAGCATATCAAAGGTCCTGAGGGAAGCTGGGGCTGGCACCTGGATGGATCGGGCAGCATATGACAGGTGAAGAGTGAGCGTGGAAGTGCACCTGGGGCATTAGCATAGCCTCTGGGACCTGTCACTGAGAAGCTAGGGTCTGTTTTGGAAAGGAGTGGCAAAAGCAGGCAGGGAAGGGAGGCGGAGTGCTGTGGGCCTCCAGGCTAGAGATTTGTGGATGGGATCAGAGCAGTGCTGGGGGATGGAGAGAAATGGACAGATTTGGGTAGCTTGGGGTTGGGGGTAAGAATAACTGGATGGATGTGGCACGGGGGGCCATACTTGGGAGCAAACAGTATGGGCTCAGGTACAGATGATCCAGGGACAGGCTGGTTAGGCACTATTGTAGTTTCCCCAGATGACCAGTGCCTTAGGGGTTCCTCTCCTGGCTTCCTCCAATGGTTCTGGCTGAGTGAGGCCAAGTGGTCATTCTGTCCAAGTCCTCAGCCCTGCTGCCAGTATGGTAGTACTTGGGCTCACAAACCCCAGCCTGGCTTACAAGGGTGTCCCCAGCCAACTGCAGAAATGGCCCTTCGTGGGGGGCTCTCACATCACTTCAAGTTTTTTTCTTAGAGGACTGATTCAGCAGGTGAGTCCATGGACTTACGACTTTGCGCATGGGGCCCCGGCCTGATGTCTCATGCCTCTCATGTGTGTTATAATTTTTCCTGTGTGTAATTTCAAGTTCTTAAGTAGTCATATGTGTGCAGATTTCTCTTCATGTTCCTCAAACACCAAGATGATCAAAACATGAGAGTGAGCTTTCTTGTTCTCTTTGTTTCTGATTATAAAATTCACAGAAGATTTGAAAAAAATCCGTGTTACGGGATTTATGAAGTTCTGGCAATACTTAGCCTCACAGCACTAGCTACCTCGGTGTTTGTGTGCCTTCCTTAATCGGACTCCTTGCCTCCACCTAGGGAACCAGTGACTGCCTTCCTCCCCTCTGATTAGTATATCCCAGGTCAGGATCCTCAGAGTTCCGTTTGTGGTTGGAGAGGACAGGAAGTGTTGGCATAGGGCCCCGGGGACCTCTCCCCACCTCCTGACTGTGCCACATGGCAGTGCCCCTACACATGGGGAGCTGTTGACCAGAGGGGCCCTGGTCCTGGCTGGGGGTAGGCCGGGGGGGGGGCTGGTGGAGAGAGGGGTGGAGTAGGGGAGGGAAAGAGGCAGGGAACACACCTTCTCTGGGGTGACCATTGGAAGCTCCTGGCCGAGGCTGGCTTCTTTCCCCGATTTCAGGACCCCAGTTTTGTAGCAAAGTCCAGCTGTATCCCTGGAAGAAGCTTGGACACATTAGCCTCAAAAGATTGTGTTTAGAACCCCTCAGGCCAAGGGCAGGCTGACCCCTGCCCAGACTGGGGTTTAGGTCCCAAGCCAGATCATGATGCATGAAGAGCTTTTCTTTGGCACTGCTTTTCATCCTGCTTTTTCCACCCCAAGGTACCCACCGGTTGGAGGTGGGGGGGCGGTGCTAGGCCAAGGGCCTGGACAACGGGATGGAAGGGTAAGATCACTAGAGGGCAAGAGGCAGTGGCATGGGAAAAGTCTAGAGGGTTCCAGAGATGCCAGCCCGGTGTAGACACCAAACCTGCACTGGCAGCTTGTGTACTTTGATGGAAGCTGCTAACAGCTGTGTCTCCTGGGACTTGCCACTGAACACATTCCTCAGAGACCACCACCCAGTGTGGGGGAGCCCTTGGGGGCTGCACACCTGGCCAGGGTTGGCGGCAGCTGTGGCCCACGGAATGGGAGTGATCATTAGAGGTCTAGGGAACTGGCCTGGGGCCTCCAGTGGACTTTGATTTCTGGACTGGTTGGGGTACTATCCTAAGGGGAACCTAACCTCAGCACCCACTGGTAGTGAACATGCGTGAATCTAGATTTCCAGATTAAACTTAGCTTTTATGCCTAAGAAATGGCTTCCTAGGTTTAAAGTTTTAACAGACACATCCCCAGCTCTGGCCTGCTGGGCACCAGTCTGCTACTTCTACTGGGCTTGACGATCTTGGCTGGCAGGAGAAAACTGGGCCAGTTCTCACCTGGCAGTTGCCTTAGCCCATGGCTACGCGGGTGGAAGGCATCATGGGCAAACAGGCGGCACCCACAGACCTCGGGGGGTGCTGCTAGGAATCCTTGGCTCTCACAGAGACTGCATAGTTGCCGAAGTGGTGGGCAGGTGGGTAGAGGGACTCACGCAGGTGGGGAGGCACGGAGTGGGTAGGTTTCCAGACCCATGCTCTGTCTACTGTTTATTGAGCACCTACTGGGAGTCACGTCCTGGGTGGGCCCGCCTGTACCCAAACTTGATCAGAGGCCTCACAACCACCCTGTGAGGTAAGTGTTCTGAGCGAACACGCTCCCCTCCCCCGACAAAAGGCCAAAAGCCGAGGCGCAGAGAAGGGGGTACCGTGAGTGCTGGTTACTCCGCACTGTGGATGCGCTGGTGCTGGATGAGCTTAGTGCTCTGGTGGAAGCGGCGGCCACAATCCTGGCAGGCAAAGGGCTTCTCACGCCGGTGGGTGCGCAGGTGCTGCGTGAGTGTGGGCCTCTGGCGGAAGGCCTTGCCGCACTCCGGGCACGCGTAGGGCCGCTCGCCTGTGTGGATGCGCCGGTGCTGTGTGAGGTTGGCGTGCTGCCGGAAGCTCTGGCCGCAGTCAGGGCAGGCAAAGGGCCGTTCACCCGTGTGGATACGCTGGTGCTCGGTGAGCCGCGAGACTTGCGTGAAGCCCAGGCCGCACTCGCTGCAGTGGTAGGGTTTCTCCCCGGTGTGCGTCCGCTGGTGGCGCGTGAGCTTCAGGCGCTGGCTGAAGCGCTGGCCACACTCCGGGCAGGCGAAGGGCTTCTCGCCTGTGTGCACGCGCAGGTGCTGCGTGAGCGTGGGCCTCTGGCGGAAGGCCTTGCCGCACTCAGCACAGGCGAAGGGCCGCTCGCCTGTGTGGATGCGCCGGTGCTGTGTGAGGTTGGAGCGCTGCCGGAAGCTCTGGCCGCACTCGGCACAGGCAAAGGGTCGCTCACCACTGTGTACTCGCCGGTGCTGCAGCAGCACGGAGCGGCGGCCGAAACGCTCGCCACACTCCACGCAGCCAAAGGATTTGTCACCCGTGTGCACTGCCTGGTGTTCCAGGAGCACGGCTCGCCGCGGGAAGCTCTCGCGGCACTCGCTGCAGGGGAAGGGGCCTGGGGGCTCCGGTGCGCCGGGAGGCGTGAGGGGCGCGCTGGGCCCGGCGCCGGGGCCCGGGGGGTCGCCGTGGATGCGCTGGTGCTGCAGCAGGTTGGAGCGCTGCCGGAAGCTCTGACCGCACTCGGCGCAGTGGAAGGGCTGCTCGCCTGTGTGCACTCGCCGGTGCTCCTCCAGGCGCGCGCTGCGCACGAAGCCCTGACCACAGTCGCCGCACACAAACGGCCGCTCCTCAGTGTGCGTGAGTTGATGGCGCAGAAGGTGCGAGCTTCGGCTGAAGCTTCGGCCGCACTCGCTGCACATGAATGGCCGCTCTCCCGTGTGTATTTTCTGGTGCCTCAGTAGGTTGCTGCGTTGGCTGAACACCTTCCCACACACGTCGCAGCGGCCACCCCGCCCCACCGCGGGGCCTGTGCTGGGGCGGCCCCGGCCCCGGCCTTGGGTCCTGGGCGCGCGCCAGCGGGCAGTGGCCAGTATGGGGCCCAGGAGCTGGCGGGGACCCTCGTTCGTGGGGTTCTGCTCACCTCCAGGGCCACTGGGGAGCACGAGTGCATGTGAGAAGCCACTTTCACGGGAGGGTGACTGGAGTCGGTCGGTGAGGCCGGCCATGCCGAGGTCCCAGGGGATGTGGAGGTGGGGGCTCACAGTGCCTGGGCCAGCAGAGACGCTGTCCATATGGAGTGCAAACCCTGCATTGCACAAGGGGATCCCTCATTCATACCAAGAGAACTGTGCCTGGACCCACTCCAGCCCACGGTAAACAGGGTGAACTAGAGGGACCTGAAACTAGCCAGTGAGGCTTACAGAGGGGGCAGGGGCAAGGATTCTTTCTGTGCAGGCCTCCCTACAGAGGCAACGGTGGGACAGAACCTAGCATGAGGAAGATTCAGAAGATGGGGACAAGCTTTCCAGGCCTGGCTTAAGTTTGCAAGAATCGCCTTCCTGGAAGGGCTGTAGGGCAGATATGGGGCAGGTGGCCCTGCACTAGTGATGATGGTTTCCACAAATACACAGAAGTGGGTGGGTCTGAGGGGGGTTGGAAGTGGAGCCAACAGGAAAGAAACGGGGATGGGGCGGGGGGTAGGCGGCAGGACTTTGGTCTGATGTGCCTTGCTTGAGATGTCCATGGGGCGTCTGAGGGAGAGAGACTGCATGTAGGCTGTGGGGTGCAGGAACTGGGGCTCAGTCTGCAGGGAAATGTGAACATGGGTGCTGTGGCATATGCATGGCACACAGAGCCCTGGCCCTGTGTGTGATCAAATAAGAGTGGGTCTCTATGGAAAGAAGGAGCAGGTCCTAGCCACGCTGTGGCACTCCAGCATTAGATGCCGTGTGAGAAGGGAGGTGTGACCAAATGCAGCTGAGAAGCAGGGGCTAGAGAAAGAGAAAGGTTGAAGGAAGTTAAATCAGGAAGACTAAGAGACTAGCAAGGGCTTCAGTGGGACAGAAAGTCTGTAAGTTGTCAAAGAAAAGTCATAAATTATACTGCATCAAAGGAGACCATTTGTGCACAGCAAAGACAACCTTGGAGCCAAAGAATGAATGACAAACACATTTTCCAGAAGCAAAGGGCTAATTAAGCTTCTAAGTAAAGAGCTCCAATTAATCAACAAAACCCGTGACCTGACAAACACAGGCAAAGGATGTAACTAATGCTGTATCCCATAAAATATGCTGAGTTCACTCCTAATAAGAAACTGCAAATTGGAGCTGTACTCGACTACCATTTTCATACTCTCCCCAGAGGGACTCAAGTGTTTGCGTGCCTTGCTGGTGAGCATTTAATGGGAAGTCAGTGGGGCAAAATACATTAAAATGGCAAATTTCTCACACTTTGATCAGCAGTTTCACTTTTATGCACTTCAACAGTTATGTTCCCCGCTGTCCAAAGTGACCTATATATATGAGATTTCTCAGTCTGTCACTGAAACTCCACCCAAAGGAATGTCAGCAGGAGCCTGCTTGGATGGGCAAGTGTCTCCACAGTGAGCCCCAGTGGGGCTCCATGCAGCTGTCCAGAGACAAGAGTATTTGTTGCTGTGTGAAGTGGGAAGATGCACAAAAAATGCCAGGTGTGAAACATGGGGATTAGGCCTTCACCTGTGTTTTAAAGGGGAAAAAGGTATGTATTTGAATTTGTGTTTGCTCTTTATGCACAAAATCTTTTCGAAAGGACACACAAGAAGATGGTAATGTTGGCTGTTGGGGAACAAGACTGTGTAACACAGGCAGGAGAGGGGCATTCTACTGTACACTTCCTCGTGCCTTTTGAATTTTCTAACATGTGAATACATTAGCTATTCAAAATACTATGATGAAGACAGTGGCTGCAGAGATGGTTGGTTGAGGGATGAGGAGAGCAGCCAGGCATCCTTAATGGAGAGACCAAGGTAACTGAAGGGAATGAGTGTTTGAAGCTGGGAGCTGCGGTTGTCAATGGAGAGAACAGGGCTGCAAAGAAGGAACCCGCCAAGGAGTCTGAGGTGGTGCCGCCAGTGTGGATGGAGAAAGCTGAAAGACTGTGGGGTTGTGAACTGAGAGAGAAGCAGGTCCAAGTTGGAGGCAGTGGTCGGCCACAAAGCACAAGGCCGAGCCTGGCCAGCCAGCTGAAGACTAAAACAGAGGATGGGGGATGTGCCAGATCCAACTCCCTCAACTCCAACATGCAGAAATGACAACAGAACCTGAGAAAAAACTTAAAAATATTTTGGGCAACTCCAAAGGAAGAAAGGACAGTTGGTGAGGTTCAGGAATCCAGAGCCTGTGCAGTGAGCTCTGAAGCCCCTGGGGCTTTAGACCTGGGGATTAAAGCCAGGCTCTGTCATGAAGCTCAGGGTTGAGGACACGGGCTAGGTTAGTGCAGTCCACCCACAGACCTGGCCAGGAACAAGCTGCTTGCTTTGGCTGGGTTCCAGAAGTACCTTCACTGAACATCCTGGGGCCCAGATGATCCTTCCACTTCAGGGTTATGATGGATCCTGTGGCAGCCTCTCACCCACCAGGATGCTTGTCCCACGTGGGGACAAACAGGAAGCTCCAGCTATGAAGGGCAGACTGTCAACAGTGCAACCAGTTGGGAGAATTCACACCTGAAGAAACCAAACTAGCTAACCAGTTTGGAAAGGACAGTAAAGTATGTCCAAATCCTCAAAGGACGGATTGGCATCCATGAAACAAGGACATTATGAAAAAAAGAAAGACTTAGAATCCTTATTGACAAAAAACATAGCGAATAGGGACTTCTGGCTAATAATGGTATCTATTTAAGTTCCATCCTGAAACAACACTAAAAACGACAAAGTTTTGTTTCTTGGGGCATAAAATCCACAAAGGTTAAAGAAGAGGAAAGGAAACAAACAAACCCCTAACATTTTCTACTCTGGAAAGCTGAGGGGCAAAGAGTAACTGTGTAGCAGATTGTAGAAAGTGAATACTAAGCTAGCAGTGAGGAAAATGGAAAAAAAAAAAACAAAAAACAATCACTCTGTTTGACCTCAAAGAAGACTCGAAAAGTTTGGGAGTTAGAGGTACCAGGTAGCTCTGGCCATGGAGATGAAGGGGCAGGACCACCAAGCACACTGGGGAGGCTGTTCAGAACTACTGCATAGACCAGCCCTGGGCACAGAACTCTGAGCAAATAGTGGGCACTGCTGTAGCTCTGATTCCTGGATCTCTTCTCCCCAACCTGGCAAAAGGCTGGGTTGAGGGTGAGAGACCATACTGAGGAAGCAATATAGCCAACAGCTAAGTAATACACATTCCAGAAACAAGGGAACAAAACAATGCAAGGAAAGGAAATCAGAGAAACAATTAAAGCCAGTTTCCCAAAATTGAGAGGTCTGAATTTCAAACTGAAAGGACTTACCAACAATGATGATGAAAAAACTCTGAAACTGAATTAGTAATAAGAATTCTTCATGCAGCCCAAGTAGCCTAATATAGAATGTTAGGTGAGTGTTTTAGAGATGTAGCCTCTCAGAACTTTTTATCTCCCATACCAGAGTTCCCAGGAAGGTCCACCAGAGCAAGGGAGTAAACTGAGAAAGAGGGGGGGTCCAGGGAACAAGGAAGAAGGGGCAGAGACACTGGACGATGGCAGAGTGAGAGCAGTATAGCTGAGGTGGACAGCAGGGGACCCCTGGCTTCCTCTTCTGTCCTGTCTGATCCAGGTCCCTCCTGCCCACCCACTGTCTGCTAACTTGGGGTCCTTGCCAGATCCAGACCCTCCCTCCCCTGCTACCCAGTCAGGAGGGCAAATCCAGAATCTGTGGACCTTCCAGGATGCTAGGGCTGGGAGAGGATGGGGGTCTGGGGAATACAGGCTCTGCTCTCAGGCTTTACTGTGGTGGGGAGCAGCACCTGGAGGGAGCCTGAAGTCAGCAGAGGGCTTGAGGGAAACCCCAACAGCCTACTCCATGCCAGGGGAGAGCACAGAAGGTTACATGCTGCGAGAAACAGTCCACGGAATGGAGGAGCTTGGAGATGCTGGGGTGAGAGGGCAGGGCTCAGGGTGGGATAGGTGAATGTGGTGCTGCCCATGCAGAGGGCCCAGCCCCACCATGCCTGGTCCCACTCACCTGGAGGGAAGATGCCCCCAGCTTCCTCCTGCCACAGGGCCCCAGGATGCTCCCTCCATGAAGGCCCCTCAAGCCCAGTCTCGCTGTGGGGAGAGGCCTGGTCCAGCACTATCTCACAGCCCTGAAACCACAGTGGTCGCTGCTCGTCTATGCCCAGCTAGGTTCAGAGAGGGACCTACCTGACCCCCACCCACTGAGGCTCCCCAGACAGGGAGGATGGCCTGTACGGGGCTCACCTGGGCCTCTTCAGGCAGGAGAGTGGAAGTGGCTTCTTGGGGATTGCCTACAGGCCCAGAATCCAGAAGCTCTGTAGAGGAAGGTTGGGGTCAGGTGGCCCAAGGGTGTCCCCACCCCATTGCCCTCCTCAGTGATATGCCAGATGCTGGAATCCACCCTTGGGGCTGGAGTAAGGCAGAACCCCCTGGAAGGCCATAGGAGGAGCTATAGTAGGATGAGACAGACTCAGGTCTGTGCCCTGCACCCCTGCATGAGCCCTGGGCAGGAAGGCCAGTGAGGATGGAGAGGAGCACTGCACCAGGGTCCACATAGGAATGATGCAGAGTGTGGGTGGCCAGCGCTGGCATCTGCCTGGAAGGAGTAAAACAGGGAGGGGCATGCCTCCCAGCACCCTGGGGTCCTCCCTCAGCCACACCCACCCATATTCAAGCCTGCTGCCTGCTCCCCAGAGACCAGCTATTGTCTCTCAGTGGATCTCCTCACATGCCCCCCACCTCGAGACCGCAACAGCCTACGCCAGGCCGGGGGAGAGCGCAGAAACAGCTGTGACAGTCAGACTTGGCATGTGAGGGGCAGTGATGGCCACCGGCTAGGCAGGATGGAGTGCGGGGGGCGGGGCACCAGTGCACATGAATAGTTCCATCCAGCAGGTGACCTTCAGGCTGTTGAGGCCAGACTCCTCTGGTCTACCCAATCAGGCTTTGGGCCATGCATGCGCTGGCCGCCCTCACCTGGGTCCTCTGTAACCGTGGGCTCCTCTTTCACCCAAAGGCCCAGTGGTGACTCTTGTGTGGCTTCAGATGGTGTCCTAGGCCCACATTCTGGAGTCTGAGGCTTGGTTTGAAGGAGGGGCTGGAAGTTGGAGGGCTCCATCTTCTCTGATAGCACCTCCTGACCCTGCACTTGGACTGTGACCTGGGGAGGCGCCCCCCACCATCAGGGACCCATGCAGAGAGTTCGGCTGGGCACAAGCAGGGGGTTCATGGGCATCTTCCCCATCACAGGACCCCAGGTCCTGACCCACGAGGTTCTCCAAGGACCCACATCCCCCCAGCACTGAGTCAGGAGTGAAGGGACCACCTGCAGTTGCTCTCTTGCTGTTTACAACCACGAATGCCCAGTGGTCTCCCACTCTCTCCACCCTGCATCCCTTCCCGCATCCATGACTCCAGGTAATGCAGGGATGGGCCAGTGAGGCTGGCCCTGGAAGCTTGGCTACTCTCACACAAGGTCTGCTTCAAGTGACCACTTCCAAACCACAAGGAACAGGTGGCCGGTCGGGCATGGCACTCCCCAGGGTGAGGCAGAGCTGGATACTGTTCCAGCCTGGATCCTGGCTCAGGGCCACTGACTCACCCATCTGCGGGGGCCTCCTGGCTCCTGGCGCAGCCCCTCGACCAGGGCAGCGGCCTCCTCAGGGCTGCCTGGCCGCTGTCCCTCCACACGGGCCTGGATCTCAGGGGGCAGCGCGCACAGGAACTGCTCCAGCACCAGGAGCTCCAGCATCTGCTCCTTGGAGTGCGCCTCGGGCCGCAGCCACTGGCGGCACAGCTCCCGGAGCCGGGCCAGGGCTTCACGGGGACCCTCTTCCTCCTCATAGTGGAAGTGCCGAAAACGCTGGCGTGCAGCCTCTGGGCCGGGATCCCACGGGGCGGCCTCACCCTCCTCCTCAGAGTCCTCCAGCTTCACCATGACAGGTCCCTCATCGTCCAGGGACGTATGACCTGGGGAGCCTAGTGCTGCGGGCCTCATTGGAAAGACTGGGCAGGGGCTCCGAGGATAATGTCTTCCCCTAGGAGAGGAATAGGGTGAGGCTACTGCGAGGGCAAACAGTGGCAGCAAATGCTTATTTGAGCGTCTACTGTACGCTTCGTTGTTCCATCCTCGGACCTGCACTGAGTAGAAGGCAGATAAGAAAACTGAGGCACAGAGTGGTGGTCACATGCCAGGCACCTGTGTCTCTGGTCTCTGGCATTCCCCTGTTCCAAACAGGGTGCTTCTTAGGCATAGAAGGCACTCCTCCCTTAAATCCTGCCCTTCTACATGCACCACCCCATCCCTGCCCGGCAGCTCTCCCACTGCCAGGTAAATGACATTTGCAATATTTACCACGTAGGCATAACCACCACTACAGGTCCTCCTCCCCTCCCCCCCGAACACCAGCCCATCATTGCACCACCCACTCTCCCATCTAGTCTCTCAGCTTAGTTCCACAGAGCGGCCTCCCTCCACCTGCTCCCCACCCCCACAGATGGGCAAGGTCAACTCTGTGGCCACGCCTCCAGGCAGCATCCCCCTCTCCCCCCCATTCAGCCCCATCCTCTGAACCGGCCCAACTTATCACACCATGTAATGCCCCACCATCTCTTCACCTTCCTGATTTAGGCAGGATTAGGAGGTGATGGGAGCTTCCAGGGGGCCCACGAAGGCCCCAAGACAACTGGACCAGGTGCCTGCAAGCAAGGTCGGAGATTCTGATCTTGCCTATTTGCTACGTAACCCTGGCGAGTTTCTGTGAACCTCAGTTTCCCCATCTTTACCATCCCCCGTAAGTGGGGATGCCCCCCTTCCCCCGCCATTGCTGCTCCCTTTGCAGCTGGGAATAATGTGCGGGCTTTGTGAAGAAATCTGAGTTTATTAAGTGAGTAGATTCGATTTCCAGGGCCGCCGGATCCCGTGGGTCAAACTTCCGTTCCTCAAGGTTCCAGGCCAACCTGCAACCCCGGGAGAAAGTTGGACCATTTTTAAGCCAGCCAGCCACTGCGAAGCTTCCTGAACTACATTTACCAGAAATCTTGAAGAGCATCTTCCACTTTCAAGAGACCCCCCTCCCCCCTCCCCCCTCCCCCGGCGGGTTTAGTGCCGCCATGGCAACCGGGGGGCGGGGCTCCTAGACCTTGCCGCTGTGGCAATGCACAGTGATTGAAGAGCATTGCGCGACAGCGCCCGGCTCGCCGAGAAGGGGTGCTAGGTCCCTGCTCCGCGTTGCGGGTCCCGCCGGGTAGCGGGAATCCAAGAGTCCGCGGCCGCCGCCCAGGTCCCCGCCCAAGCCTTCCTCGTTGAGAGGCCCCCGCCCTCACCTCCACGCTCTGCCGGCCGCTCCGCGCTCCTAAGCATGCGCACTCGCCGACTTCCCCCTCCCCGGCCGGACTATGTCTCCCAGAATGCTCCACGCATCAGCCCGAGTGCCTCCTTGCCCTTCCCCCACCCTCGCCTCCTTTTCCACCCTCCTCCCGTTCCCCGGGGTAGCGTTGTTCGCAACGATCAGATCACACGCCCGGCCGCCTCTTCCCGCGCTCCCCGCCTCAGATCCAGGCGTCCATGCCCCGTCGACGTGCGCAAGCTTCTCAGGGGGCCACGGATCGCAGCACCGCCTTCCCAACCGCGCATGCCCCCCACCACGTTTGCCTCAGTTCTTGACGGGCCTGCCAGGGATTAGCAGGGTTCTGCACCAATCACCGCTCTCGCTAGGACGCTGTCAGCCCACGTCTCCACGGCAACCTTTTTGCAGAAAAAGGAGGCGCCTCCTCCACCGCCCGCCCGGACTGCAGATTGCAAAGAGGCTCGGCACAGTGCTTTCTGGGAAGTGTAGTCGGCTGGGCCCTCCGTGGGCGCTAGCGCCGCGCGACGTTCCTTTGTGTTCGTGAGCGGTAGGCGGGCCTGGGAGTCTCCATGGTGACTTGTGGGGCCGACCCGACGGTCTCCCGCGCAACGCTGGGGACCTGGTGGGCGTCCGAGAGGCGATGGGGAAGGTGGGGTAGGGCTTGGGGAGCCGCCTGGGGCAGGGAAGTCGAGTGGGGAGAGGCCCAGAGCCTGTGAGCCCACTCAGGGGCAGAGAGCCTTGAGGAGAGACAGTGAACGGAATAGGACAGATCCAGAGACCGAGACACCGACAGGAAAGAAAGTCATCAGGGAGGCATTCCCACTCTCAGAGACCTAGAGAATGTGATAAGAAGCCAGAGGATCAGAGAGTCAGGCCCGGGTAGACAGGAGTGTCAGAAAAGTCAGCGAGGGGAAGGAGATCAGGAAGGGATGGGTGTGAAGGGAGAGCCAGAGGGAGAGGAAGAAGAGCTTCGCAGAGACAAGATCCAGACAAGCAATACAGGCAAGGGCAGAGAAAGGGACAGGATTTTGAGATACAGCAAAGATGGATGGAGGGAGAGTGTTCACAGACCTAGAGAAGGGCGACAGCAAGAAGAGAGACAGTTGGAGGTAGACTTGTTAGGAAAACGTATCCAAAATTTGACAATAGGACCAAAAAAAAAAAAAAAATGGTTGGGGGCTCTCTCTGCATTTCCTAGCATTGTGTACCAAGTAGTCTCGGAACTACCTTTCGGTCCGAATCCAGGCTGCAAATGCTTGGGGTTAGAGTTGTATCACCCCCAGGACACTGAGCGGGAACTGAGACACCCGGACCCGCTGCCCTGTAGGGCACTCATTCGACTTTGGGCTTTTGAGTGTTCCTCATTTCTTTCACCCTTTCTGTTCCTTCTCCCTCATCTTCCTGGAACTACCTATGTCATCCTGCTACTTCCCTCCATGACGTAAATAGCTCTTTGACACGCACTCATTGAGTTTATTTATTTACTTATTTTTAAAGAGTTTATTTATTTATTTGACAGAGAGAGAGAGACAGCAAGAGAGGGAACACAAGCAGGGGGAGTGGGAGAGAGAGAAGCAGGCTTCCCGCTGAGCAGGGAGCCCGATGCGGGGCTCGATCCCAGGACCCTGGGACCATGACCGAAGCTGAAGGCAGACGCTTAACGACTGAGCCACCCAGGCGCCCCATTGAGTTTATTTTTAACGTTTAAAAAAACACTTGACAGTCCAAGCGGAATTAATTCTCCAGGATGGGGGACAAACCAAGAAAAAGAGAAAACAGAGCCAGAAATGGAAGGAGGTAGGGAGGATGAAGTAGGGACACAGACAGAAAGTCGGCGCGGGGAAAACTCGAGAGAAGGGAAGCAGAAAGCCAGCTTTGGGCAGAGGCAGCCTCCAGCGCCCCCGGCTGGCCTCTATGCGCAGCGTCCTCGACGCCAAACTACATTTCCCGGCGGGCCTGGGAGGGCCCGGCGCAGGGTTCAGAGCGCCGTCGGGGGCGGGCCCCACGAGGACTCCGCCAATCTCGGCAGTCGCCGGCAATCTTCCGCCTCCGCCGGGAACATGGAGGCTGAGCTCGGCCGCCTCCGGAAAGGGGCGCTGTAAGGCGGGAGATGGGGAAGAGCTGAAGCAGCCGGCCCGCGTCGCGGTCCGGAGGTGAGGGCGGGCGGCCGCGCGGGGGCCGGGCTCCGGTGGCTGGGGCGCCGTTTCTCGGGAAGGGAACGGACTGAGGCCGCTGCTCGCTCAGTCCGGGACGAGCGCGGGTGGGCCAATCGGAGCTTCCGGCGGCCCCGCGGCTGTCTGGGAATTGTAGTCTCACGGGGACGAGCCCTGCCTCCCACCCAGACACTGGGCGGCGAGCCTCCCCGGCGGCGCGCTCGGGGACTTTCTCACGAGAGGGAGGGAGGGAGCGAATGAGTGAATGAACACATGGGTGAATTCGTTTAAAATTGTGGGTGAGCAGAGGAAGGCGTGAATGTTGGAGAAAGAACAATGGCGCGTGAGGGGTTCAGAATTCGGGGACGGCTTCCAGGCAAGAGGAGCCTTTCCCACGCCCACCCACCTTTCCCTGCCTCCAGGCTCGAGGCTCCTGTGCCACCTGGTTTCAAGCATGTGCAGCCCATGCATCCTTGAAGGTACTGATGCGATACCGATAGGTGCCATAGCCGCTGCAAAAACGGACCTTCACTTATTTGTCCATGCTTTCACAGGCACTCCTTCAATTTTTTTTTTACTGTTTGATCAGGTGCTACTTTCACATGGTTCGTAATGCGATAGGGACGAGGTGAGAAACCTGCCTCCCACCGCTGTACTTCATTTAATAATCCCATCAGCAAGCTGGATGCACTATTCCCGGGGCTGGGGACACAAGAGAGCTCAGCGGACTCAGCTCCTGCCCTCAGGCAGCATGTGACAGATGTATGATAAAACGTAGGTGGGGAGGGCCTTTTTGATTAGGTTACATTTGAGCAGAGATCTGTAGGAGAGGGAGTGAGCCATGTGGGTAACAGGGAAGAGCCTGGGCCCTGGGCTGAAGGAAACAGGAGCACCAAGGATGTGGGCAGGAGTGAACAAAGTAAAGGAGGAGGCTTTGAAGTGCTTGACGAATCTGGTGAGGATGGTGGCTTTTACTCAGAGCTGGGAGACCTCTGAGCGGAGAGGGGGGCAACAGGATCTTAGTGCTTACTGAATCTTTGTGGCTGCTGTGTGGAGAACCACCTTCCTCCTCTATTCCCAGGTGCTCTGTGGGGTGGCACGAATTAGGTTGGTTTCCTCCTGCGTTAGTTTCCTATGACTGCTATAATGTATTACTGAAAAATGAGTGGTTTAAAATAACACAAATGTATTATCTTGGAATCTTGGAGGTCAGAAATCTGAGATGGGTCTCAGTGAGCTAAAATCAAGGTATCAGCCGGGCTGGTTCCTTCTGGAGGCTTTAGGCTTTAGTGGTCACATTGCCACCTTCTGAGTGAAATCTTTTGCCTCCCATTGCAAGGACCCCTCAGATTACATTTAGGGCCCATTTAAATAAGCCAGGATAATTTCCTTATCTCAAGATTATTAACTTAATCACACCTACAGTGTCCCTTTTGCCATATAAGGTAATTTATTCCTAGGTATTAGGATGTGAATGTCTTTAGGAGCAACTCACACTGATGTTTGATGTCTTTGGGTGGGAAGCATGGAAATGGGTAGCTCATTTGCTCATCAGTGTGTGGGAGGTGGGTTTCTAGACTGTCTCGTGGTTGCAAGAGGTTTGCTGGGGGAAGAGAGCAAAGTCTCCTAACAGACTTTTCTTGATCTCATAAGCTAAAACTAAGTGACATGCTCCTCTAAAGGCAAAGAATGCTTGGAAGTGCATGTGCAGTGTTTTTAGCAGTAGGTAAAGAAGGGGCTGGTCATGCCTCTGAGGCAGAGGGCAGCAGGGCTGGGTGCCCTGTGTCAGAGCACGGGAAGGCCAGCTGGTGGTCGGGACTTCCATGTACTTACACGTTAATGCCCGTGTGTCCTTGTCTTACAGGCAGAGGCAGGTATGGCAGGAGAGGCCAAGAGGCTGCCATTGTGGGCACATTGGTAGCTACTGTGGATAGGACCTGGGGAGAGACCTCATCAAGGTGCATGGCTCAGGGAGGCGGAATGAAGACAACTCCCCGGCTGCAAGTGTCGGGGAAGGCACCCCTTGGTGGGATTGGCCTCCGCCACAGCGCCAAGCGGGACCGAAAGTCCATCACCCTGCATGTGAAGTTAGAGGTGCTCCGGAGGTTTGAGGAAGGTGAGAAGCTGACTCAGATTGCCCGGGCCCTGGGGCTGGCCACCTCTACCGTCGCTTCGATCCGTGTCAACAAGGACAAGATCCGGGCCAATTCTCAGGCAGCCACCCCTGTCAGCGCCACACAGCTGACCCGCTGCCGGGGTGTGGTGATGGGCCATATGGAACGCTTGCTGAGCCTGTGGATTGAGGAGCAAAAGCGGCAGAACCTGCCCATCAGCACACTGCTCATCCAGGACAAGGCACGACGGCTCTTTGTGCAGCTGCAGCATGAGCAGGGCAGTGGCACTCAGGCTGAGACCTTTGGGGCCAGTAATGGCTGGTTTGCCCGATTCAAGGCTCGCCACAATGTGCTTTTGACAGATGAGCCATCGGTGGCTGACACCCAGGCTGCTGCCCACTACCCCCCAGTGCTGCGCACCATTCTGGAGGAGGGCTGCTACTCACCACGCCAGGTCTTCAATGTGGATGAGACGGGCCTCTTCTGGAAGCGGCTCCCGGAGCGCATGCTGCTGGCCCTGGAAGGGGCAGCTGGGCCTGGCCTCAAGGCCTCCAAGGACCACCTGACTCTGCTGCTTGGTGGCAATGCAGCTGGTGATTTCAAACTGAAGCCCCTGCTGGTGTACCCTTCAGAGAACCCGCGTGCCCTCAAGGGCTGCTCCAAGGCCAGCCTTCCTGTGGTCTGGCGCTCTAACCGCAACGACTGGCTGACACCCAGCATCTTCCAGGAGTGGTTTACTGGCTGCTTCTGCCCTGCCGTGGAGAGCTACTGTGCCAGCCACGGCCTCCCACACCGTGCCCTGTTGCTCTTGGATGGCGCGCCCTGCCACCCTGCTCATCTGGGTGGCCTCTCAGCCCATGTGCGAGTTGAGTTCCTGCCCAAGAACACATCGGCCCTGATCCAGCCCATGAACCAGGGTGTCATTGCCACATTCAAGGCCTGTTACCTGCGCCGCACGCTCAGCCAGCTGGTCCAGGAGACAGCTGGGGAAGACCGGCCCTCTGTGCGGGAGTTCTGGCGCAGCTACACTGTTGTGACTGCTGTGGACAATATAGCCGAAGCCTGGGCAGAGCTGCAGCCTGCCACCATGAATGGTGCCTGGAGGAAGCTCTGGCCCGAGTGTGTCCCCCCTGGCACCCCCGAGCCTGACACCGTGCCTCAGCTCCGTCGCAGCATTGTTGCACTAGCCAGCCATGTGGGCCTTGGAGATGCAGCTGAGGCCGATGTCGCCAGCCTCCTGCAGGCCCATGGGGAGCCCCCACCCCACGGCAGCCCCCAGGATGCAGAGGATGGGGACATCAGCGGCTCTGGGTTGCCCTGGGAGGCAGGGAAAGGCTCGGTCTCCAGAAAACCAGAGCCAGATTTCACAGAGGCTGTGGTGGGTGCGGGGACCGAGGAAGCTGATGTGGGTGCTCTGAGCACCGAGCACCTGGCCCAGGCCCTGTCTCACTTTGCTGCTGGTTTACGGGTCCTCATGGAGAATGATCCAAACCGGGAACGCAGCCTCCGGGTGTCCCGGGGTGTCCACTGTGCCCTTGCCCGCCTCCGGGAGCTGCACCGGGAAAGGAGGCGACAGGCCCGGGCAGCTGTATCCTTAGGGGGCCCCACGGCAGTGGCAACAAGGGATTTGGCAGGAAACCTGCCCTTGCCCCAAGTGGGGCCCATAGAGGGTGGGGATGTGGCTAAGGGCACAGGTCATGAAGGTCAGACCTCTGGCTGTCCTGTATGATTTGGGGCTTGGGCTTGACCTCACGTGATTCTCTCTAACGATGTTTTGTTTCTGGAGGTCAGCTACTGCTACTTCTCCCCCAGGGTTCGCATAGGCCATGCTCTCTGGTCTTTGTATAGTGACACACAGCTCAGGCTTGGGGAACAGAAGGGTAATGTTCTCTGGCAGATGAGCTGCAGGGCCCAGGAGTGCCCACCCATGACAGGGACACAACCTGTAGTATGGTAGTTGCCCAGCACAGCCTGCCAGGGCAGCTTTTCTTGTGGTGAGGGGCCCGAACTGAGACCCACCTCTCCCATTTTCCAAACCTGACCTCTTACTCCCTGCCTTGCCAACTTTAGATGAGGGCTTCCTGCTCTCGGCATGTCCTTTGTCACTTTCCATGCCATCCTCACCTCTTCTGGCTTCCATGGCCTCTGTTGACCCGGGTCTCTGGTACCTTCCCTGTGCCTGAGCACTTTGATTCACTGTGGATTTTGATACCAGGGTTCACTTCCGTCGTCTGGAGATGTTTTCTTCCCTGAGTTTCTGTGCCGTGGACGTGGCTTCCCTCCAGCCTTTGAGGTTGAGGCTTTTGTGACTGTGATGGTCTCCCAGTTCTGCTGCTCTTTGGAAAATACCATCCGCTGCTAAGAGCTGGGATCACCTCAGGATTGACTCCCAGTGCACTGGCTACAGCCCAGCCTCTCCCTGAGTTAGACCCAAAGCTCTGATTCTGATGGACACCCCCACCCCCCAGTCTCATCATCTCCCCTAATTCGTTTGTTTTCCTGTCCCCTGAACTGTAACAACAGGCATCATGGGGTGTCCACCTGACTGCAGAAACACCACTTGGGTCACCAAAACACAGCCAGCAAGGGAAGGTGTTCTTGTGCTCCAGCTGGAGGAGCCACAGGTGCTGGGACAGGGATGTCTGGGCTTGTGGACTCCTTTCGACACAGGTGCGCGCACACAAACGGACACGTGTGCCAAGAAACAAAGGTGGGAGGGAGGATGCCGGCTACTTCCGTCTGCGTTGATGGGCTTGCTGTCAACATATCACGGGGGCCGGGGGCCAGGGGCCGGGGAGGGGCTTGAAGGGCCAGCCTTGCTGGGAGGAAGGTCAGGTGAGGCCCCGTGCTTGCTTTCCTGGGGAGAATGGTAAGAGGGATGACAGAGAAGGCAAGCTTTTCTTAGGGTTCTGGTGGCAGACTGGATTGATCGCCCAGTTTATGAGCCCGCTGTTGAGACCAGGGTGAGTGAGACTGACTGCAGGAGCTGCCAGTCCAGAGGTGGTTCCGTTCTCTGTGACGAGGCTATGCCCGGCGACTCGGGAGGACCCCCACCTAGCCGGGCACAGAGGACCAGGCGTGAGAGGCTTTCTGGGGAAGTCGGGTGTCAGACCTCAGGGCCCTTGCTGACAGTCAGGAGGTGCAGAGGGCTTTGGCAGAGGCAGCCCAGTGTGGTGGGGTGGTTGGCGAAGGCCCGAGTCCCGGGAGGAAGGCGTACCCTCGGGGGAGGCTGAGTGCCGTACACGCCCTTGAAGGAGGCGGGTGACCAGATGGGAGTCCGCGAGGCCAAATCTGACGGGGTGGAAGGAGTAGTTAGGCCATGCAGGCGTTGTGGCGGCCCGTCTGGCTCCAGGGCTTGTTTCTTCAGGCGCCCGGCCATCAGCAAGCGCGCAGCGGGGAGCCCTGGATTCGTTAACCGGCAAGCTTTCCCAGGCCCCTGAGCGTTTTAGGGGGGCCCTGGTGGTGGGTCGGGGAAGCCCGGGGTCTCCTGCAGCTCCACAGGCTGGTTCTCCGACGCGCTGGGGACGGCATTTGCCGGAGAAACTCACCAACAGAGCCTGTCTTCGACGCAGAAGCAACCGACTCCTGCCCCCCTCCCCTCCCGCGGTGTCGGCGCGGGAGGTCGCGCGCGAGGGCAAGGGCACAGGCGCCGCGAGCAGGCCGTGGAGGGGCCGGAAGCTCCCCGTTCTCCTCGCCGCGGTGGAGCCGGCCGTGTGGCTCTCGGGGCTGGTGAGGCGGGCGCAGGGCAGCCGGAAGCGTCGGAAAGGCCGGGGGTAGGGTGTGCAGCCCGGCGGAGGGCGGCAGGGGACTTGGCGCAGAGAAGCGTCGCCCGTTTCCCTGGGAGCCCCGTTCGTCCCGGAGGAAGGGCGGCTCGGGGGCCTCCGGGATACCCAGTCTTGCGCGGACGCGTCCTGGCCCGGAAGTGGTTCGGGGCTGAGTTGGGCTCTCACCGCTGCGCCGGGTTCTGCCCGCGGATGGGCCCTGTGACCCTCCTGAGCCTAGTTTCCTGGGCTTCCCTCCAGCGGTTCCCTTTCAGATGCAGACCCACCCAGCTCCTTCGAAACTGTTCTCACTGCCTCTGGGGCGTCTCTGGGTTTCCGCCACCCACGCTTGCGTTCCCTCTTTGCGCCCACTCCACGTGCGTCCGTCCTTAGAGGGCGCTCTGCGCCCTCGGGTGTGAAAATCCAGACCCTTCCGTGGCGAAGCCTCTGCAGGGTTGCCCTGGCCACGTGGCTCTGGCCTGAGCTGATCCCGCGGCCCAGAATGTTCTCTCCCGTAGCCATCGCCTCCTCAGGGCACCTGGCCGTCAGGAGCCTGGTGGTTGGGTGTGTGTGGGGCATGGAGCTGCCCCGGCCTGGGGAAAACCGTGACCAGCCCTTTTAGAAACATGCGCTGGCAGTGAAAACGGCCTTTATTCTCTTTTAAAGTTGCAATGGTAACAAATAGCGGTTGCCAAAAAAAAAAAAAAAAAAAGCAGCATGTAGAGATTGAGAAAAGAAAAAGTGGATGTCCTCCAGTTATTTCCCCCAGATTTCGCCCACTGGGAGTCTGTTTTTCAGGACCCGTTTCTGAACATTTATAACGGTAGCTCCTGTGTGCACTCACACACATACACCGCAGAGGTTTATTTAAAAATGTTAACGTTAGTGGGATCATGTTACCTGAGGAGGGCCACAGATTACCTTCCTGTTTAACATTGTAGAGTGGACATCTTTCCTTGTCATTTTTTGATCTTGGCTAACTGGTGTGAGCTGAGCCTCTCAGTCTCCGTAGGAGTCGGCCATGGGGGAAGGAAGGCCTTCCAGTGTGAGTCAGCTATCGGTCTCCCTGCGCCTGGCCCATGCTGTCCCTAGCTTCCATCTTGCCCTTCCAGTCCGTCCCCCACATCACTCTTCCTGGTGCCTGGCTGATTGCACCCTTCACTTGCTCAGACCCTCCCTGGGCACTGACCCTCTGCTCGTTCCCGCCTGCACTCCTGCTTGACTGCTGGTGGGGTTCTCTCAGTTCACTGAAACACAGCATGTCTGTGCCCTCTATTCTCAGGAACAACTCTCCTACCTTTACCCAGTCTGGCATGAGCTATTGTAAAGTTCTGCAGGGGTTCACTGTTCTCTTAACCAGATTCCCGGTGCCAGGTGTTCTCTTGAGGGCACAGATGGGGAGGTTGAGGCTGGAGGTATCCCCTACCAGGTTGCCAGCTGGCCAGACTTGGGGACAGTTTCCCCAGCAGCAGGTGGCCTTGAGGGTGTGGGTGACTGGAGGGGCGTGCATGATCAGTGGCCCTGACTGGATGGGCATTTGTCCCAGGAAGACAGTGTGTGGCCTGAGTGAGTGCAGGGGAGGCCAACTTCCCAAGGTCTTGCCATGGCAGCCGACCCAGCACCCCTCAATCAGGAAGAGCTCGTGATCATCAAGATGGAGGAAGATGAGGCTGCCCCATGGGATCCTGAACCCCTGTCCAATCCTCAGCCCTCAACCCTGCTGCCCAGACTCTAGGGACCCCCAGCAGCACCTCTGCAGCTTCCGCTATGAAGAGGCAGCAGGGCCCCAAGAGGCCCTAGCCAGGCTACAAGAACTGTGCCGCCAGTGGCTGCGGCCCGAAGCACACCCCAAGGAGCAGATGCTGGACCTATTAATGCTGGAGCAGTTCCTGGGTGTGTTGCCACCTGACACCCCGGTCTGGGTGGAGTCCCAGTGCCCTGAGAGTGGTGAGGAGGCTGTGGCGCTGGTGGAGGACCTTGCTCAGATGATGCAGGAGACTGGTGAGCCACAGGGGCCCAGGGGCTGGTTGGGATTCCTGTGGGCTGGGGAATGCGGAAGGGGACACAACCCATGACCCTGGCCCAGTGTTCTCATTGCTGGGAATAAGACTCAGAAGCTGGACCATGTTCGGAGCGTTTTCTAGCCTGTGAGCTCCCCAGAGCAAGGTTTCTGCCCTATTGGAGCTTAGTCTGTTTGGAGAGTTGAATAGGGAGACCACCAGTCACGATTAGGGTATCCTCCTTTCTCTGGAGGGGGTGGGGGCACAAGGAGGTGAGCACACGGGTTGGCCTGGCCAGGGATGGCTTTGCATTTCCTGCCATGTGACATCTTCACCTTAGGCCACACGTGTGCCTATGTGCCCGTGAGGAGGGGATAACCATGAAACGGGAAGGAGAGATGGTTGGGTAGGGTGCCGTCATTCATCCTGGCATTTGTTCACACGTTTGCTCACACATACCTATGCGGTGCCTTTTGCTTGCTTGGTTCTCTGTACCAAGGAGTAGAAACCATAGCAATTAAAAACAAAACCAGCTTTACTAAGTTATAGTTTACATACCAAAAAAGTGTTCAGTCCCTGGGTTTAGTATATTTACAGGATTGTACAACCATCACCGTTGCCTAATACCATAACTTAAACATCTCCAAAGAAACTCTATGCCCATTCGGAGTCACTCTCCATTCTTCTCCTCCTAATGCCCTGGCAGCCATAAAAAAGAGATAATTACATACCACAGCATAGGTGAACACTGAAAACATGACACTTGTGAAAGAAGCGAGTCATAAAAAGCCACATGCTGCATGATTCTCTTTAATGAAATGTCCAGAATAAGCAAACCCATAGAGACACAAAGATTTTAGTTTATTTACCTAGGAGTGGAATTGCTGGGTCATATGGTGAGGCTGTTTGACCTTTTCAGGAATGGTGACACAGCACTTGTTTTAACGGAAGGAATTTTTTTTTTTAAGATTTTATTTATTTATTTATTTATTTGACAGAGAGAGAGACAGCGAGAGAGGGAACACAAGCAGGGGGAGTGGGAGAGGGAGCAGCAGGTTCCCCGCTGAGGAGGGAGCCCGATGTGGGGCTCGATCCCAGGACTCTGGGATCATGACCTGAGCCGAAGGCAGACGCTTAATGACTGAGCCACCCAGGCGCCCCTAACAGGGAATTTTAATGTAAATCATTTAACCAGTTATTGAAGGAGGAGAAGAGTATAGAAAGAATTGTAAAGTGTCATGGCAGTAAGGACTGCAGGGAATAGTATCCACTCCTAGAGCTGTGGGAACAAAGGGAAGAGATTGGAATTAAGACAGTTAGAAACTGAGGAGGGCGTGCGACCCAGACCCCTGAGGAGAGGCCACTGCTGGGTGGTGCTGGGGCGTCTGAGGGGGACATGGTGAATCTGGTTGTGCACATGAACTGGATTCGGTTCCTGCTAAGGAAGACCTTGATGATGAGTGTTTTCGCCTAGGCGTGAACGTGAGGTGCAGGTGAGGCACTTTGGAGGCATGTGTCTGTAGTCTTTCTGGGGTGTTTGGTGGTACTACCATGCCCTTTTCTAAGCTTGCTGCCAGTGTTTTGAGGCGGGCTGTCTCTTGACCAGTATCCAATGTCTGCCTCCTCCTCTGAGGTCTGTCTTTTAGTTCTAGTTCTCAGCTTCCCACTGAATAGATGCGTAGGTGATGCACGCTCTAAAGACAGTGTGCAGGGCACCTGGCTGGCTCAGTTGGAAGAGCATGTGACTTTTGATCTCGGGGTCATGAGTTTGAGCCCCGTGTTGGCTGTAGAGATTACTAAAAACATAAATAAACTTAAAAAAAAAAAGGCGATTTTGCAATAACATTGTGGATGTTGGAACAGCAGCCTACGGGTTACTGAACGGACTCAGGCCTGGTACTCACGTGATTCTTGTGGGGTGTGTCTGGTTCTGTCCGTTCGTCCTTGAGATCACACACAATTGAGGTTTGCCACAGTTCACATGTACATGAACACTCCTCCCTTGGCTCCATGCCCTTACCTGATCTTGTCCTGTTGCTGGTCCCTCCAGTGGCCCCACGTGAGAGAGGGTAGAGGGTCTGGCCCTTGCTTTCTCTGGGTGGCCTCAGAGATGATTGCTGTGATTCTGTCAGGAAGTTCAGAAGCCAGATGTCTCAAACTTTTTCCTTGGCTGTCAATGTCAAGGTGTGTGTGGCGGTCCCCAAGACCACCCTTAGTCTTAACAATTTGCTGGAAGGAGTCACAGAATTCAACAAGGCTTTTATACTCATGATTATAGTTGATTACAGTGAAAAGATACATATTAAAATCAGCAATGGAAAAAGGTGCATAGTCTGGGAGATAGTGGCCATGAGCTTCCACATGTCCTTTCCCAGGGTGGTCATGTGGACACTGCTTAATTCTCATAGCAGTGATACGTGACAGGGCGGCAGTCAGGGATGCTTTCCTGAGCTCTGGTGGGCACGGTTCCTACTGAGGGTCGGTCACATAAGCATGGAGCATCCTGACTTTAGTTACTCAATCTCAACTCCTCCCAGAGGTCAGATTGGTACAGTGTGGCCCAGGGTCACCACTATAAGTCACATGGTTAGCATGAACTATCTGGTTTGGCACAAGTCCTTAGGTAAACAAAGACACCTTTAACAGGCAGAATATTCCAAGGGCTTAGAGGTTACCTCTTAGGAGCAGGTCAAGGGCCAAACTTTTGGAACCTGCAGGGTTTGGACAACCCAGGCCTGCTGAGTCAACCCTTTACTGAATATCTGGCTGCAGCCAAAGGAAGGCTCTCACCACCTTTCCTTGGAGGGTCACTTCAGCAGCTGTGCCCAGCCTCTTCCCACCTCCCTTCACCCTCAGGTTTGGGGGCCCAGGAGCCTGCCCTGCAGCCTCCTTCAGCTCCTGGTTTTGAGGGTGGGGTATCCCCAGGCTTGCACCGTCTGAATAGTAGACTAGGTGCTTGTCCTGAGGTCTCGGGAGCCCAGTGCCCAAATCCGAAGGCTCGGGGAGGCTGGGGCACAGATGGGGTTGCCTGGTCTCGGCTTCTTTTGGGTGTGGCCAAACACTGCTGTCAGGAAAGCCCAAAACTGCACCAGTTCACAATTTAAAACAGCATTTGGCAGGCCCAGAGGACACAACTGTGGTCAGGACTGACCACACTGGCCTGTAATGGGGGCTGGGTACCTCTCCTCTGTCTGGGGTGCCTTGGCTGTGCCCCCTGGGCTGGCTTTGATCTTGGCTTTGCTTCTTTCAGGCCCCCACGCCAGCAGGCTCCTCTTCCCCATCTTATGGGCCACTTCTCCAAAGTGGGTTTTCTGTTATTAATTCAGTCATTGTTTCTGTTGCACAGAGATAGAAAGTAATATGCTGATCAGTAGCAGGTTATCCTCCCGTTACGTTTTAAATCGAACAGTGTAATATATGTGTATTATAAAGTATGTAAATTTCAAGCCTCATGGCTGGTCGGCCTCTTTGGAGACGGCCGTTGTTAGCCTCTGTGTGTCCCCTCTCCCTCGTTTTATATATGCACATGCAGCACACACATGTCTGCATGTGTGTAGGTATATAGACGCTTCCAAAGGAAGCCCCACTTATGCTCTGCACCTGCTCTTTCACTTCATCTCTTATTGGCCCTTCCAGTGTCACAAGCAGCTCAACCCTTTCCTTTTAGTGGCTCTTTAGGAGTCATTTGTCTTGCCCATCTCAGAACACACACCCCTGTCCTAGCTGTCGCCCCTCTTCACCTCCTCTTCCCTCCTGGCCTGCCGATCCTCTAGATCAGCCCAGCCTTCAGCACACGGTTGTCCCTGGAGCCCCTGCTTTGGTGCTGAGCACTGTGGAGGGCTGTCTCACCTTCAGTCCTCATGGCAGCCTAGTGTGGCTGTCTCTTTTGGGCAGGGAAGGGAACCGAGGTGTTTTGTGGCAAACAGTTGGCCTCCCATTCCTTGGTCAGGCTTACCTTCATGTGGGGAGGGCTTTTGGTCCTTGGGCATTATATAGCCTCCCCAGGGATGGCTCTCCCCCATGAGTGAGGGGCCAAAGCTTGCCTCTGTGTCACAGGGTACTTGAGTGTTTGTGGTCCCAGCGGGTAACCCAGGGGCTTCCCCAGGAGGAGAGAGGGAGTTGCTTATTTATTTAATTTTTTAAAAAGATTTTATTTTATTTTATTTTTTTACAGAGACACAGTGAGAGTGAGGGAACACAAGCAGGGGGAGTGGGAGAGGGAGAGAACAGGCTTCCCGCAGAGCAGGGAGCCCGATGCGGGGCTCGATCCCAGGACCCTGGGATCATGACCCGAGCCGAAGGCAGACGCTTAACGACTGAGCCAC